GGTATCGCGGCCGCAAAAAGAAATAAACCTTTTCGATGCCGTTTTAACATTCTTCTCTGCCGGCTCCGCAACCCTGGACAAAACAGTGCCCTCCTTTGGTCCAAGAAGGAATAGCATAACAACCCTAAAACTCCGTTTAAAAAGTTTCTTTCTTTTTGTGGCTGCGATACCTACTTTGACCACAGCATGGCACAATTTTCTACACGTTACCGATAACTTTGAACTCACGGGACGGAAAACTGTGCCCTCGTATGGCCAAAACGGGTACTGTGGCTTGGAAAAGAAACCCTTTTAATGGGATTTTAAGGTTATTAACCTGTATCTTTATTGTTAACGTCTTATTAATATTTATTAAAGCAACGGGAGGCCCGTTTGCTGCAACACAGGAACTGGAAAAGAAATCCCCTTCAAAAGCCTTAACCGGAGTTAAGGAGGCCTGTGATGGCCTATTGATATTAATAAAGTTTTAATAATAAAGAATAACAACCCTAAAACTCCATTTAAAAAGTTTCTTTCTTTGGGTTGCTCCGATCCCTGCTTGGACCCTTAGGAAGAACGAAGGAACTAGGAGGAGAGAGAGGAAGGAACAGAAGGGGAGAAGAAAGGTTGGAGTAAAGGTAAAGGTTTACCCGGAGCAGCCCTTAAAAAGTAAAAATGAAAAATGAAAGTTAAAAGGTCGTTTTTTACCAACGGCGATGGGGGTTGGACAGGAGACGGACGGAAAGTTGCGCTGACGCTGGGAAGGTCGCTCCGAGAAGCGCTGGTACGGAAAAAATCGGCGACCGTGCTTTTTCTGCCTGCTATTCCTTCTTAGACCACAGGAGGGCACTGTTTTCTCCAGGGTTGCGGAGCTGGCACGGAACAATCTTAAAACGCCATCGAAAAGGTTTCTTTCTTTTTGTGGCTGCGATACCTGCTTTGACCACAGCATGGCACAATTTTCTACACGTTACCGATAACTTTGAACTCATGGGACGGAAAACTGTGCCGACGTGTAGCCAAAACAGGTACTGCGGCTGCAAAAAGAAACCCTTTTAATGGGATTTTAAGGTTATTATCCTGTATCTTTATTATTAACGCCTTATTAATATTTGTTAAAGCAACGAGAGGCCCGTTTGCTGCAACACAGGAACTGGAAAAGAAATCTCCCTTCAAAAGCCTTAACCATCACTGCCCTACACCATTTCTGACAAATGGCATTCCAATCTTTTCTTGAAAGTCGCCAGTGATGAAGCTCCCACAACTTCTGAAGGCAACTTCTGTTCTATGGGTTGATTGCTCTCACTGTCAGAAAATTCCTGCTTATTTCCAGGTTGAATCTCTCCTTGATCGGTTTCCATCGGTTGTTCCTTGTCTGGTCTTCGGGTGCTTTGGAAAACAGCTTGACCCCCTCCTCTCTGTGGCAGCCCCTCAAGTATTGGAAGATCGCTATCATGTCTCCCCTGGTCCTTCTCTTCAGTAAACTAGCCGTGCCCGATTCCTGTAACCGTTCTTCATATGTTTTAGCCTAAAGTAATGACTGATGACCACCTAATGTCTTCACCTCTGCAGCTTTTCAAAGATTTCTAAGACCAATGTTGAATATTTAAATTTCAGTAGTCACCAATCCCAGGCTTAAAATGAGTTTAGAATCAGTGGGAGTCACTGATAACAATGAACTACTAGCTACTGATAATGAGTCCACTCCTAATATATGAGAGAGAGAGAGAGAGAGACAGAGAGACAGAGACAGAGAGACAGAGAGACAGAGAGAACCCTAACCCTAACCCCTAACCCCTAACCCTAACCCTAAACCTAACCCTAAACCCTAAACCCTAAACTCTGGACACCTGGACACCTGGAGCCTGGGGGTTTAGAAGACCAAAAACAGGGGAGTTTTTGCCCTCCCCAGCTCCCAGGAGCACTCTGATGGCCTCCCAAACCTGTTTTTGCAAAAAACAAGATGTGGGCACAGGTCTTCAGGAGGCCAAAAATGGCTGTATTCAGTGTTTAAGACGCACCAACATTTCCACCCTCTTTTGGGAGGTGGGGAGTGCGTCTTATTCTCCAAAAAGTATGGCAATATGGACAATTTCCCTTTCCTTTTTTTCTCATTGTATTATCCACTGAAACAAAAAGTGAGGAGAATTAACTAGCAGAACAAGAACTTATTTATAGAATGTAGAGTTAAACTAAGGAGCTCCCCGCGGTTGGATGTGGCAATGCTTCCCGAGTTAGATCTGTTTCAAAGGAAAGAGAGAACATACTCGTGGAAGATTCAGATGAGCAGCCTACCCATATTACCCTCAGGGTCATAACCCCCGTCCCCTAATAAGCTGTTGGACGTTGAGTGTGGAAGAGGGCAAATATCTTTCTGTCCACCTAGTTGCCGTTCCGGATCACAAAAAAGTGATTCGGCTAATGTGGTCTTAGAGCTCTTCCGATGTTCTGATGTTCTAGATGCGTCAAAAGTAGGGAAGACTCCACAGATTGTTCCTTATGATGTCAAGTCCTTCCATTTCCATGGATGCACACAACCTTCCATGGAGGTTAGTTGCTCCCTCCTGATTCCTGACCCTTTTCTTCACGATTGATAGACTCCTATCTGAAAACAATTATTTAAGGAGTAAGGAAAGCAACTTTAGGATACAGGTTGGTGCTTTTCACAGGATTCCTGGGGCATCGCGTGGAGGTCCCCTGGGATATTTGAACCTGCCTTCCAGAATTGCAATGGAGGTTTCCACATACAGATAAACTTTATGACCTGCTAATACCCATTCCTTTCCAACCATGCGTGTAGCCTGACGTTAGTTGTTCTGTACTTGAATATCTCCATTTGGTTTCCACTTACCCGGTACTGAATTTCTGCTGAAAGTAGCTCAACAATAAAACAGCTTCATGCAAAAGATAAGCCCGATATCACTTTTATAACAATACAAAGCTAACTTGTATTAAACCGGTACCTTACAAACACATCAAAATATATGGTTGTTGTGATATACCTTGCTTATTAGCAGGTTCAGTTCTTTGCTCATAATTCAACATTCGTTGTGGGAAATTACAAATTATGGGAATGAATGACTGTGCTCTCCTTAAAAGCCCATGGAGACAAAGGGAATCTGCTGATAGACTGTATGAAGCTGATGCGCTGTCAGTCATGCAAAAAAGTGTGGGAATTCAGGGGAGACATTGCATGTCTATAATGGAATTTCATTCCTGTAGATAATATTTATGTGAGAAATACTGCAATTGCTTTTACTACTTCTGGTGTCACGCTTGGGGTACCGTTACAGTGCAGCTATTTTGAGTTCCCTTGGTGGAGGAACAACAGACTTTCAATTGTGCCGGGACATTTAAAAAAAGGATGTGTTGTTGCTTTCTGGGAGGTAAAGCCTGGCAGCAGAGACTACGTTAACCCCATCCAAGCAGAGAAGGTGAATTTAATACCGCCCTCCTTATTCTACACACACCTGAGAATTTAGGGAGAGTGTAATTGGCAAGTATTTCCAAATTACAGGCTTGCTCGCTTAGGATGAATCTGATCCCCATCCGGAGCAGATCACCCCTCTGATGGGACAGAATATAACAATCATCCAGTGTGATTGAATTCAGCTTTAATTTGCATTGGCTTCCTTCTTATTATTCTACTATAATTAAATTGTAATTCAATCTGATTGCAGAGGTGAGAGGTTTTCTCTGCAAAGCCAGTTCAAAACTCCATCATACTTCATCACCTGAGAGGGAAGGGCGGCGTCTCCCCGAAAGGTTTTTTAAAATTTATTTATTTATTTGATATATATATATCAATATCATTACATGAACAGTGAGGCATCTGGGTATCATTCATTTAAATACAAGTAGTAATGATAGTATTATTATTATTTGTTATTTAGATCATACTTACATAATTATAAAGTTATTATACGTATTTGTGATAATATATAGGCCTTCTTTATTTGGTTGTTCAACATTTTAGTCCCCCGTTCCAATGACACTAACAATATCATTACAACAAATATAGTGTCACCATCTTTCAACATCTAATCTATATACCTAGCTATTACTTTTAGTATATTATATAAAAATAGGCATAATAATATTCCCCCTATTTCTTGTTTCTGCCTCTGTTCTAGCTCCTAATAAAGCCAATCTTGTGTTACATAACATTTCCTCTATCCCTCATCTCTTGCCCGTTTTAATATTTCAATTCTTATTCATTTTTTAACTTGCCTCCCAAATTCCTCCCTTGGGTCTTCATCTCTATCTACATCTTTCCTGGTTAGCTTAAGTATTTCTTCCATCTCTACTATCTTTTGCTGCCAAGCCTCCAGAGGATCTGCCCAAATCTCTATTTTCTTTTCAAAGATATCTTTCTGTTTATCCGGTATCATTTTTTGGTCTTTTAGCATTTATTTTCTCTGAATTGCTTCATAAGTTTTTATTGCCTTCTCCTTCTTATCTTCTTGTTTTATTTGTTGATTTGTCCGTTCTATCTTTTCAACTGGTCTCTCTATTTTCTCCTCTATTTCCTGTGCTTTTTGATCATTATTCATTATCTCTTGTGGAGCACTTTCTAGCTTCCCATTTATGTTATTCATTAAATCCATTATCTCCGTGGTTCCTTGTCATGATATCATAAATGTTTTGAAACATCAACACTATTTCCTTTTGAAACCCACTTATTTTCCCCTGCTGAAACATCTTGTCTGCTTTTAATAAGTCTCAGTATAGCTCAATAGTCTGTCAGTGGTCTATCCCTGCCCCAGAGTCTCAATTATCTTTGATCTCAGAAAATCGATCTGAAAACCCATGTTATCTGGGAAGCCTGCCTGGCTGACTTTCTCAGAAGTTACGGCACTGAGAGAGGTTGGGAGATTTGACTCTACAGGACGAAGTTTAGGTCACCTCAACAGCAAAGATGGATGATACCTCAGACACTGACTGGATGTTTGGCTATGAGGTCAAGTGAACATGAGGGACATACGCACCTTTTAAAAAGATACCAAGTGCCCCAGCTAGCCTGAGTCCACCGTATGTCTTCTAGGAATTGTTAGAAAGAAATCAGCTTTATTTCTCAGCCAGGAATAACTTTAAGATGTGCAGGCAGTTGCTTGAATCAGAAGTGAAGTTTATTCCAAAATTATATAACGTATGATTATCTGCTCATAGGTTACCACCCTGAGCCCTTTAGAAATCACCTCAGGTAGGGAAAGCCAGCTTTTATTCCTAGTGTAAAGCAAGTCAAAGGCCGCCCATCCCTTTCTAGGGATTCTGGGAAAGTAATTAACCGGGTTTCCAAAAAATGAGCACTCCACAGTCAGGCACCCTGCTGCATTCGCAGTCTGCTTATTTAACAGTGCAGATAGAGGTGGCTATTTTTATATAATATACTAAAAGCTGTTATTGTCATTGACTAAAATGTTGAACAACTAAAAAATGAGGGCCTATATATTATCACAAATACGTATAATAACATAATTATATAAGTATGATCTAAATAACAAATATCATTACTACTTGTATTTAAATGAATGATGCCCAGATGTCTCACTGTTCATGTATTGATATTGATATACATAAAAATAAAATAAAATAATTAATTTTAAAAAACCTGTCGGGGGGACACAACCCTTCCCTCTCCCTCTCTCCCCCCGCGGCAGGGGGCCCGGGCAGCCTGAATGCAGCTCCCTCCTCAGATGCGACCAGCAAGCAAACAAATGTGGTGCTCCGGCTGGGAGGCGGCAGCACAGAGCCCCACCTGTAGCCAGCAAGAACGGCGCAGGCAGAGCACGCATCTTCCCCACCGCCGCCACGGCAATGGCCGAGAGGGACGCGCAAGCCAAACGTTTGGAGCGGCTGGTTGCTAAAACTGTAGACAGTGCCGATCAATGCACGGCCAGTTGTTTGTTCCACTATTTATTTTGTCATCTCTCCTTTATCCTCCCAGTGCAGCCTAATTTCTCCCCAACACCTCATAGCATCTCTAATCATACTCTCCACTGTGTTTTACCCTGTTCCCTTTCATTTGACAGACAGCATGGCGCAACAGAAAAACAAGCTAAGAGTTAAGAAAAGTATAGCCAAGCAGCAAAGCACCTCTGGGCAATTTATCACCGAGAGAGAGCTAAACCTGAAGAAGGAATATGCCACCCTGACAGAGCATATCAACACCTATTCGGATCGAGTGGATCACTTTCAAGATGAAAATGAATTCCTGGATAAGGAAACCCAGGAGATCCAAGAAAACAACAAAGCTTACCTCACCTACTTAGCCAAACGCACTCTCCTATGCCAGAAAGCCATCATTTCCTTAAATGACCAGAACCGATCGGATCTGTCCTCTGTCCTGAAGCAGAAGGATGAGCTGACCTCTCAATACAAAGACAGAGAGAAGGAGGTCAGGAGCCAGTTGATTGAGATGGAGACCAAGTATTCCCTCATGAACAAGGAGGTTGATGAACTGAGGCCCTTCAAGGAGCTGCAATCGGACCAACTTGCCCGTATCCGGGAGCTGGAGAAAGACCTGCTGGCTATGAAAATCCACCATTCCGAGCAAATGCACACTGTGAAGAGCCAGTTCCTGCAAAAGAAGGCAGAATACGAAATGGAGTCCCAGCAGAGGGTCCAAGCTTTGGCCAAAAAGGCCGAGAAAGAAGCCGTGCGCAGCCTCATCCAACACACCAAGCAGATAAAAGCTGAAAATGGGAGATTGCGTAATGAACTGCTGAACCTCATCAAGAGAGCCCAGGGCCTAAAGGCCATTGTACATCAGCTCCAGGAGCAGAAAGAACAGCTTCTTCAGGAACTCCAATTTGGGGAAGATTTGTCCCATGCACACAGCTGGCTAACTCAGCAGAGGAGAGCCAGGGGCAAGACCAGCCTGCCTACTAGGACTCAGGTAGGCTTTCCTCTCCATCTAGTCATGAACAAAAAGCCACAATCTCTCGCAAGTCTCCAAGGGCCGGCAAAGACACGGTCAACAACTCAGATGCAGAAGACCAGCGTGGGAGAACCATTATGCCCTCTGGCACAACGGCTCCCGTAGCATGCACGGCTTGCACGAAGGGCTTTTAATGGCAGCAGCAGAAAGACTGACGTAGCCCTGGCAGGGACCCCGGAAGAGGCTTTTGCACTGCCTCCATAGCTGAGGGAGAAGACGGGTGGGTAGTGTTTCTCTGCCTTGGCAAACTGGGGTAACAAGTGTGTTCTGCTTTTCGCCTTTACAGCTAAAGCGTCTAAAATAAAAGAATTCCCAAAGCCACGGTATATCATTAGCGATGGGATCAATTCATATAATTGGGCAGAGGGGTAAAAAAGGGCAATACAATTTGTATGTGTTTTGGGAAGAATAATTTGTGCAGTCCAGGATGTGGGAGCCTTAAAGAAATTCGGTCTCTTAAATATCATTTAAAATAGTAAATTTCACCAGATCTAGGACTGAGGAGCTGATAGCAGTGTTGATTTGTGGTATTGTAATATGAATTTGCCTTCCTTGGGCTCAAATTGAGGTAATTCATTTTTTTTATTGTAGTCAGTCCTTAACTTCTGATTATTCGTTTTATGACCATTCAAAATTATGATGGTCACAGAATCGATATTTTATGACCCATAAATAACCCAGCCATTGTAAATGGTCGCAATCCCCACCCCCAGACTGTGTCACGTATTTTTGCTGGTTTCCAGCCTTTTTTCCTCCCTGCTGCTGCTTCTGGCAAAAAGCACCCATTCAAGCCTTTAACAACTGTCACAAAACAGGCTTTTGGATTTTACCACTGGATTCAAGGCGCTGGACTAGAATCCAGATCATATATTCCTGCAATATACACAAAACCAGCTGCATTATATTGACCCAGCCATTCTTTCTGAGCCCTAGGAAGAACGTAATAGCAAGCCGTATCTGAAAATTGTTGATAGGAAAACTGCCGGGAGTCGATTATGTAGCCACCAGCCATAAAGATTGACTTGCACCAAAATAAAGAAATTGACCAAAACCCCACATAATTTATCCAGAGTTAATTTTGCTACACTGATTTTATCTCGTTTTTGGTCCAGTGATTTTCTTAATAGATTGTTAAATATATATGGGATTCAGCAAATATTTTCATAAGTTATTCTATTACATGCTGGTCAGCAAGCTTAGTTAAGCATCAGGTGGAAGGTTTGACCTCTTGAGTACCTGCCTCAGAGACGGTAATCAAGGATTGCTTACAAGCAGCTCTTATCAAATGGGAGAAACGCATCCAGTCCGGGGCCCAAGTCCAAATCCTCCAGTTTTTCATATTACAGATGTCTTGATGGGAAAAATACCTAATTTGCAGATTATGTGCATTTCTAGAAATAGGCTAGAACTAATAGAATTTAACATATTGGAGATTATCACTATAGGGAACCACAGCAATATTTACTGTATACTCACATAATTGTAATCAGAAATAAAATACAAGCAGATCAGTTTATTAGTACTTAATAACATATGCTTGATTCGAAGCCCTAGGAGAAAATGAACACATACAAATACATATTTAAACATACAAATAACATTTAAAAGGCTGAATTATGACAATGGTTTTCCATCGGCCTCGGTCTCCTCCTCTGCATCAGAAAACCTCATTTTGCAACCATTGGTCTGGAGCTGCCGTAACAATCGTTCAATCAAGTGCAGGAGGCGAAGTCCGCGCTGAGCTTCCTCATTATGGCTCCGTGGCTCAGGCCCTGCTGAGAGTGCTTCACGGAGCTGTAGTTTTCCTTCACGTATTTTGCAAATGGAGCAAGTGGGGCTTTGGCTGGGGTGCCATCTTTGAGCTTGGGCTGGCAAAGCTCAAGCTGCCCCTTGCAAAGAGCACAGACAAAACGCTGCGTGTCCAGGGATTTGGAGTGGCGCCCAATTCTGAAAGGCAAATGCAAGAGGTGTCTTTGAAGACAGAAAGCTGCTAAGGAAAGGCGATGGCGGCATGCGTTTACAGCTGAAATTATAGAAGCAAAACCTTCAGGTAAGAGGTTTATTTTTTTTAATTTATTTTTTACACTAGAAAATTATAATGTATTTTTATTGCTAGGAAACAAAATATTTCTGACGGTTTTCTAATACTGAAAATATAGTTACTTCATCCCAGGTGATTGAGCGCAAACTATTAATATCTCCAGCATAAACAATGGCCATTAAAAACTCTATACATAATTCTATCTTGAAAATACTGGTTGTAAACAAGAAATGATCATGTATCCTTAATACTAAAATTCTACTTCACTGTACAGGTTTTCCTCAGGTGACACAGCGGTTGGGACCAAACTTTCTATCTCCATCATACGACTGCTTCACTTAGAGATGACAATTCCAGCAGTCCCAACTGCCAATATAACCTGAGGACCACCCAGGTTGTTAAGCGACTGTGGCGTGGGAAAAGGCGGGAGCTCCAAAGCAGGCCAGTGGGCCAGAGCTACAGGTGCCCAGAGTGAGCGCTTATGGAGGGCTGGAGAGTATGCAGAGCATGGACAGATGGGTGTCACAAGCAGAACCAGACGGGCGAAAAAGCAGCTGGGGAGTGAGCGACTATTCAAGCCACCTCGTGGAATTCTCTGGTCTTCAGCCTCAAAACTGCTGCAGACAACACTTGTGGCTCTCTGATTCTCCCTTGCCAGCAGTTTGCTGACTTCAGGTGACAAGGCAAGTCTTTGCTCTCTTTTCCATACGACATCGTATCTCAGCTGTGCCAAGTACTAAAAAAAGAAAACACGTACAACATGGAGCCTCTTGTAGATACGGCCCATAATCACATGGATCAATTCATGAATTGAACTCCTGAGCTGCCTCCCTTCCAAGGGAAGGTCCCCTGGGATCCAGCGCCTGGGGAAACTCCAACCCCAAACCCCTTAGCTCCTACCATACTTCTAACCATTTCAACAGGCAGGCAAGAAAAAGAACAAGATATCCCAGTTTCAGAAAAGCACAATGAATACAATACACAAAGAGCCTTGGTACTACAGTGGTTTAAAGCACCCTGTTATTAACACAGCTGCCTGCAATTTACTGCTGGTTCGAATCTCTCCAAGGCTCAAGGTTGACTCAGCCTTCCATCCTTTCTAAGGTAGGTGAAATGAGGACCCAGTTTGTGGGGGCAATAAGCTGACTTTGTATAAATATACAAAAGTATGAAGGCTATTGCTTAACGCACTGTAAGCCGCCCTGAGTCTTCGGAGAAGGGCGGCATATAAATCAAATTAAAAAAAAAAAAATACATTCTGATACATTTAATCATTTTTCAAAATGATAAAATTGAAATGGACTCCATCTAAATAAACCAGATGAGTGGAGCTATTGGGAGAATGGTTTACCAAACGGCAGATGATGCAGCATCCGTGAATTAAAAAGAAAAAAGGAAAAGTACTGCTAGGCGAAAGGAAATTCTCCACTCACGTGTTTTTGCACTGTAAGCATTCATAAGTAAATTTGTATTTTATCTCATAGTTGTGGCACCGTGAGACCACTGGGAGCTCCGGATGAATCATAGCAGACTTCTTGGCATATAAATTCCAGAATCGCCCATGCCCGTCTCGAACACCGTGGATTAACCACGTCGCTGCATGACACAGTTCATGGATGAGAGTATCCCGAAGTCGATCTAACCGTGGCATGAAATAAGAGAACAAAGAAACTTCTCTTTAGGTCTGTATGACATGCATTTTGCTCCGAGTCTAAGTATAAAATGTTAACTCTGTCAGGTATGGAAGACCAGGATCACACATGAAATCCCAACTAAACTGATCTATTATTACTCGTGCCTCAGCACAGGAATCTACTCAACTAATGCTTAGCAATATTTTGACGTTAGGTGATGGTCAACAGAATTCAAGAGCGGTTGGACTAAGTTTGGAGCTACAAAGCGACTCTAGGCCGATTCCTCTTTTGACTCCACCCCCAGGTTCCGCCACTCCTTCTCCTACGATAATGTTCCAGTTAATGCTTTATACTGGAGCTGAACATTTAGCCAAGAACAATTAAAAACCACCATCTAAATTATATAGGATATGTGAACTTACAATAAAAAGGTAAAGGCTTCTCCTGTCCAGTCGTGTTCGACTCTAGGGAGGCAGTGTTCATTTCCCTCTCACAGCCAAAGAGCCAGCATTGTCTGAAGACATTGCCATGGTCATATGGCCAGCATGGCTATATGCCAGAGGCGCACAGAGCGCGGTTACCTTCCCACTTAAGTGGCACCTACTGTATTTATCTACTTGCGTTTGCCTGTTTTCTGACTGCTAGGTGGGCAGAACTAGTAATATAGTATCTTTATTCATACAAACGGTAAAGCAGAGAATATTGTTGTGGTTTAAATCCATGAAACGATAATTTAACCAAGCGGCCAATTTCCACCAGTTGGCCTGATTTCTTGCCACCATTCATTAAGAACAAAAATGAGCAAGCTACATGAGGCTCCCAATACTGCAGAAGAGCTGAAAGTTGCCTCAATTTAGGACAACTGCCTGGTTGCTGCTGAAGGACCCACAGGAAGCATAAATTCGCATAAATATTGGAGGGGGGGGGGACAGGTAATGTAAAAGAGCCAAATGGCTTGGACACTGCAATTGCCCAAATTGTATTAAAATAAGAACTGCAAATCTGCAACTCCTCCTCCCTGCTTCCCCCTACCATTCCTGGATGATAAGAAAACAGAGGAATTGGGGGGGGGGGCGGGGGGCGGAGCCAGCAGTCAGCTCGGAAAGTTGTGTGAACGGGTGCTCCGTGAAACACAACTGATTTCCAGCCATCCTGGAGGGATGACTTGTGAGGAAGGTAGCCGATTTACTGAGTTCAGGTGGCAGTCCAGACTGGGAGGCAGTGGAATTTTCAACGAGAGCGGACAGGGAAGAAGATGGCCTGCAATGGCCGAATTGTAGAGCTGACAGCAGGACAAAGATAGCGGTGTGAGAAGCGGTATGTCGGTGGACCGGAATTGGTGGAAAAGAGTTCCGGCTTCTAAAGAGCGAGTGGAACAGGAAGGAAAGTGGATTGAAATCCCTGGCTGACTTAAGAGAAGAGGAGACTCCTAATAGGAGGGGTGGACTCTCTCTCTCTCCGCCCCCACCTCCCCACCCCCACCCCCCCGTGGAAGAAGCAGCGTAGGAGATTGTGGAGCTTTATTAAGATCTTAAGACCTATAAAGACAGGGGATAGAAGGAGAGAGGCAACGGAAGCTAACTGGATTTGGAGCTGGAAAACTTTGTGGGCTGTTACGGGAAAAGTTGAATAGTGTGGAAATTGGAGATCAGACCAACTTACAGGAGAAAACGGCTGTCCTCCTTTCCTTTGGACACTGAGGAGGCACTTTCTGTGTCAGAATTGAGACAAGGCTCTAGAGAGACATCTACTGGCCAAGGAAGGTATATACATGTAAGTTGGAAATTTTGAAGAAAGAAAGCCCTTTTAAGTGCCTGTTGAACTGTAGATTTAGGAACATTGGTGAAGTGATAAGTTTACAAATCTGTGTTGGAGGACAAATAGGGATCATATATAAGAGATACGAATATATAGAGCCAAATGTTGAGCATTTGATCTGAGCAGAAGGCAACGTTAGAAAATTACTGAACTGAACTTCAATAACCGTTTAGAAGCTATTGGAATCCAGAAGTTATCATCAATATCACTGCTATTATCAGAAGTATTTTTGATATACCACTTTGACTATTGTAAATATTACAAGTATTACTAGGATTGTATATACTAAGTTCAGCGGTATTATCCTTATGTGTATTGATAACAGTATATATGGTGCTAGACCAACAAGTTAAATATAGTTAGGTTTATATAAATAGAATAAGTCTGATATCTAACAACTAATATTAATAACTCAAGTAACGAGCAGTGGAGGGTTCTATTGGTGTGAAAAAGTGGTGGGAGTGTTGGCTGGAGTCCAATTTTGCAGAAAAATTTCTAAAGATGACAAGTACTACGAATTTAACTAAAATAGGGATAGGGAGGAAGCAAACTGCTCAGGTATCATCAGCTTCATCTAGTCCGTCAACGCAGAGATCAATAGAAGACATGGTCCAAAGGGAGAGGTCCAATTTGTTTAAAGATCTGCAGTCCATGTTGCAATCAATGCAAGAAGCTATGACTAAAAATCACGACGAAATGAAAAAATGAGATAGGAGAGGTAAGAAATGACACGGGAGAACTTAAAGAAAAAATGCAAAAGATGGATGATAAATTTGAATTTTTCCAACAGGAAATTATCAAAAATGAACAGTTGATGGAAGAAAGGATGGAGAGAGAAGAAAAAAGAGTGGATGAAATGAGTGAGAAATTAAGTCAGGCGAATAAGGAATTAGAGGCTACAGTTATCTTTCTCGTATCAGAAAAAGTGGCACATTACATATGCTTCCAGAACGTTAGAGAGAAGACTTGCCAGCTATTATGGCAGAACTAATAGCGAAAGCACTTGGAACAGAAAAGGAGGAAATGCTAACAGAAATACATGAGACCTATAGAATACACACAAATTACGTGAGGAGACACAATCTACCAAAAGAAGTACACGTTAAGTTCATGAAGAACTTCAATTCGGGATGAAGTACTACACAGGACACGGGACGATCCAATAGAATACAGAGGGAAACAACTGACAGTTCTAAAGCAGGTCCCAAGAAGAGTTAGGGAGCTGAGAAGACCATACCAGTTCCTAACATCAAAGTTGACTAAATACAATGTGAACTTCAGATGGCTGACACTGGAAGATATAATGGTCACCTGGTGAGAAAAGAGGTATAGAGAGGACTCTCTGGACAAAGCAGAGAAATTTTATAATCAACATTTTAGAAGCAAGGAAGAACCAGAAGAGAGGGAAATAAAAGAATACCTGTCGTGGAAGAAAGGGAACTATGCCTTAGAAAGAAGGAAAAAGAACAAAGGGAGAGACCTGAAAATAATGGGGAAATGCCTAAAGAACCAAGGATAACAAGAACGACAAGACCTAGATATAAGATACGAACAGAGGAATGCAAGAGGAAAGTAAGATTTTATCATTGAACATTAATGGACTAAATTCTCCCGCTAAAAGGGAGAATTTAAAAGGGAGAAACTAAAAGGTAGTTTCATAAACTACAAAGCTACAATCTGGATATAATAGCGCTACAAGAAGTGGACATAAAAGAACAACACAAACAGGTATTGGAATACCCCAAACTGGGGAACTTATTTGTATCACTGTTACAACAAAAAAAGAGAGGGGTAACATTGTATATTAAGGAAACAATATTGGTCAAACAAATTTACAAAGATGAAGAGGGTAGGATTTTGATCGTGGAAATAATATTAAACCAAAAGCGGATCCTATTAGTAGAAGTCTACGCCCCCAATAGGGGACAGGAACAGTTTTATAACAAACTGCACAATATTATTCGAGACATAGAATGTGACAATTTCTGTATGTTAAGAGATTTTAACACAATAACAGACAAAGAATTAGATTATAGAAGCAACAAATAAAAAAAAAATTAGAAGAATCTTGCCTAAAACTTTCTTCAAAATGGTATATGAATTAAATTTACAGGACACTTGGAGAGAGAGAAACCAGGGGAAGAAACAATATACATATTATTCTAATAGACATCAGTCCTGGTCCAGACTCGACACGGTATGGATGTCAATGAAATTAAATGCAGAAGTGAAAGAAGTAGAAATTGATACAAATACATGGGCAGATCATAACCCAATGAGGGTTTGTTGGAAAGGAAAAAAAATGGCAAGATGGACACTAAATAGGTCAATCCTAAAATAGGAAAAATGTAGGCTGACAATGGAAAAACAAATGGATTTTTTTTTTAAGAAAACAAGAAAGAAGTTACATCTCTACAAAATATATGGGATATGGCGAAGGCATACATGAGGGGGTCGCTATATCATATATGGCGAATAAAAATAAGGAGAAGAAACAGCGACAGAAACGCCTAGAAAAAGAATATAGAAAAGCCGAAGCAGAATTGCAGAAGGAATCTCAAAAAAGGGAGCCAAAGCAACAAATGGACTTAATTAAACATAAATTGAATACGCTTGAGGAGGAGGAGTTTGCGAGAGATATAAAAAAAACTAACCAAAACTTTTTTGAGAATGCAAATAAACCAGGGAGGCGGTTAGCATATAAATTGAAGAAACATAAGGAGAAAGGATGGATTAATAAACTGCAAAATGAGGAAGGAGAGATGTGCTATCAGAATGAAGAGAAAAAGAATATGGTTCAGGAATATGATAAGAAACTGTATGATGATACAGAAAGATATTCGGAAGATAAAGCAATAAATTATTTAAGGAAAGCCTCACAGCCTAAAATTTCAGGAAAAAAAAAGTTAAATGAAGAAATAAAGATGCCAGAATTAATAGAGGCAATAAAAAAAAACAAAAAAATAACAAAACACCAGGCCTCGATGGGCTGCCAGTAGAAATATATAAAGAATTACAAAACACATTTGGACAAGTATTGCTTGAGGTATACAGTGCAGTGTTAAATGATGCAAAGATTCCACTATCATGGGAAGAAGCAAATATTACATTGATTCCAAAAGAAAACACTGATTTAACTTTAATTAAAAACTATAGGCCTATCTTGTTGTTGAATAGAGATTATAAAATATTTATGTCAATAATAGCTGAAAGACTGAAAAGGTTTTTAAATGAATTTATACATGTGGATCAAAATGGCTTTTTGCCAAAAAGACAAATCAGGAATAATATGAGAATACTTGATACACTAGAATATTATGAAATACATAGTGAGACGCAAGCAATATTGATGTTCCTAGATGCCCAAAAAGCCTTCGAACAAGTGAATAAGTGGTCATACTTACCCGTGTTTCCCCGAAAATAAGACCCTGTCTTACTTTTTGAACCCTGAAATAAGCGCTTGGCCTTATTGCCATGCGCTCAAAAGCCCGATTGGGCTTATTATCAGGGGAGGTTTTATTTTGGGGGAAACAGGATACAAATTCAGACAAGTTATATGAAAGATGTGAAAACGTGGGGCATCAGCAGAATTTTTTTTTCTTTAATTTATATGCTGCCCTTCTCCGGAGACTCAGGGTGGCTTACAATGCATTAAGCAATAGCCTTCATACTTTTGTATATTTATACAAAGTCAGCTTATTGCCCCCACAATCTGGGTCCTCATTTCACCTACCTTAGAAAGGATGGAAGGCTGAGTCGACCTTGAGCCTGGTGAGATTTGAACTTGCAGTAATTGCAAGCAGCAGATGTTAATCTGTTAATAACAGTGCTTTAGTCCACTGTACTGCAGGCTCTTTAATGACAGATAAACTTCTATAGGGGACAGAAGAGAAAATGATCAAAGCAATATATAAGTTTTTACTAGAATACAAAATGGAGGAAGTGTGTTAAAGATACAATGATGGTGTGGGCAAAGAACTTCGGATACAGTATCGAATTGGAAAAGTGAGAAAAATTGTGGGACAAAAACAGGAAATTAACTCTGGCCACATCATATAAAGAACTTCTATAAAATGTTTTATAGGTGGCACCTACCACCAGCTAGGCTAGCCAAAATGTATAAAAATTTATCACCTAAATGATGGAAATGTGACCAAATACCGGGCACCTACTACCATATGTGATGGACATGTAGAAAAGCAAAAGAATATTGGCAAAAGATTCAAATATAGTTGGAAGAAATGACCGGACAGAGATTGGAACTCAAACTAGAATTATTCCTATTAGGAATTATATAAGAAGATCTAAGTAAAGGGTTAACATATTTAATATTACATATCATAACAGTGGCGAGAATAGTTTATGCCCAGCAGTGGAAGAGTGAAAACATACCTAAAGAAAGGGAAATAATAAAAATACTTGACTGTGCAGAATGTGATAGACTGATACTAGAACTGAAAAATAAAGGAGACAGAATACTATGAAATTTGATTAGACTTAAGGAATAGAAGTCGGAACAGATAAGAACAAGGATGTGTAGATGGAAACAAGAGGCAATAATATAGTATTGAAGTGTAAGTGTGTATAAGAGGTTAAGTATATATATATAATTAGTAAGTAGTAATGTATATTGAATACATAAGAGACTTGTGCTGTATGGCGGAGATATCGCCAAGACAATTCTACCATATACAATTTTTTTTTAACAATAAAGGTTTTAAAAATTTTTTTAAAAAAGAAAGGAATCAGAGGAATGGTTTTCTATTTCACACAAAATTGAAATCCCACCCCCTTCCAACTCAGAGTGCTAAAGGAGAGTTTGAGGGGTCCTTGGTGCTCTCTGAGCTTGGTTGTTTTCTTGCAGATGTTTCACGACCCAAACTAGGGAACAGCATCAGCGCAGTTTGGGGAATGAAGAAAACTGCAAGAAAACAACCAAGCTCAGAAAGCACCAAGGACGCCCCATTTCAACCCTGAGCTACAGACCTTCTCTATAGAAGAGAATCTGCCTTTGCGTCCATGCAATCTGTGACCACACCTGTTCTAGTCAGAGAAGCAAGAAAGCCTACCTGCAGAATCACAGACTTTTTCTGACAGCATTATCTTGGCATAACGCTGCATCTCTGGCTCCTTCAGCTGGCCAGTAACACAGCACCCTGCTGTCTTCTGCATCTTCTTATTCCAGGTAATCTCCATTCTCTCGGGCAGCTAAGAGAAATGATAGGCAACAAGAGACTTCCAAAGCTGTAACAGTTGGGCTCAGCTCTCACCGACTCAAGGTTGACTCAGCCTTCCATCCTTCCGAGGTGGGTAAAATGAAGATCCAGATTGTTGGGGGCAATACGCTGACTCTGTAAACCACTTAGAGAGGGCTATAAAAGCACTGTAAAGTAGCATATAAGTGCTATTGCTATTGCTTCCGCTTCCAATTTTTGGCTGAGGACACCAGGCTTAGGAGAGGAAACCATGGTGAAAGGGAAACAAAGGTTTTGGGAAGCTGAGCCAGGCAAAGTGGACCCCCTGCTAAGGATAGCTACACCTATAAAACCCAAATTCCCTACCTTTTCTTCAAAGACAGAATGGTTGTAAAAAGAATACAGCCTTTGAGCCAGTCCTTCTTTTTTGCTCCGGAAATGTTTTGCAAATTGGGATTCTGGGTCTGACAACTCCTGCAAGAAGCAGCCCTGGATGTGGCAGGGTCCCCTGGGAAGAGAAAAGCCAAGAGAAGGCTGGAGGAGCATCCCACCCTCCTCTCCTCATTGGGGAGGTAGGACACGGTCACCCTTGCCTTAAAGGCTTGCCTCAGATAACACGGCTGTGGGCTTCCCACCCCTCCCCTGAAAAGCAGGTTGAAAACTTAAATAATGAATGTCTCCCGAAGAACTGGGCATGGCTGAGCAACTTTCAAGATCCATCCATGATTGCCTGAGCAGAGAAGCCACAGATCTCCTCAAATGAACATTAGCCTGCTTCTAACCACGCTACACACAGAGACGTGTTCTATTTCCTTCATCTCTCTCTCTCCCCCCATATTTTCAAATATTATGTATTGCAACAGAAATATCAGGCCAAAACTGGGATATTAAAGGCACTTGTATTCCTTTGCTTGTGTGCGCTGTGGGAAAAAAATCAGTTTTCAGATAAATAAGTTTAAGACAAAAAGAATGTGGCCTTGCAATGTCTAACTCACGGTGGCCCGTTGTAAAGTTTTATCAGAACAGTCCCACTACAACTCCTCGAGATGCAAACGTTTTCTTTAACTAAAACCATGGTTCTCTGTGGCTAACTGATGGACAGGAAGTAACCTGAGGTCTATTATGTCATTAGGAATATGTGTGCATGCATTATTTCCCCCTCCTTTCTGAAATACATAAATATGAGTTCATCTCTTTGTCTGCAGGGGTGGCTCTCCCACTACTCTGAATGGATGCAATGGGCTCCGAGTCAACCCAGGCAAGACAGAGTGGCTCTGGATACTTGGGCCTTTTGGTGACAAGGTTTTTCTGCCACTAGTCCTGAGCTGGGTGGCACTGCCCCAGGCAGACCCAGTGAGAAATCTGGGGGTCGTCGGTTACGTTGGGAACCCTTTAGTAGTCAAAATGAAATATTGGAAGAACCAAGCATCCATACAACTTGGCTCCTAGAAGATCACAAGCCAGACTGCCATTTTTTCACCATGATTCTCCTCTCTTTAGAAATGATGCTGGCCTCCCCAGGGAGGGCTTCCCTGATGATGGTGAAGGCTGAGGAGGATCTTTGGGGAGTAGCTGGGTGCTATCTTGAACCCTATTGTGCAATTCAGAAAGTAGTATTGCACTGTATTTGTTGTTGGACTCTGAAAGTAATAGTAAAGAAGCAGTACAGACTCACCTTATTTGCATCCGAGTAACTGACTGAGTAATATCCACGAGGGCCTTGCTTTTCGAAGTCCCAGGGGAACGCGGTGTGCCAGGAGCAGGGATTCCGGCTGCTGAGGGAAGGCTTCCCTCTCTCTTGGCAGCTGTGGCTGGGCTTTCAAGGGAAGACCCCAGGCCTCTCTCCTCTGCAAGTTGCAAAGAGAATACTCAGCACGGAGCTGCAAATCAACCTGACCAGGCCTGGCTCACCAGATGGGAATTGTGGAAAGGCAAAGGACTGCGTTGGCTTCCTGATTAAGTCACTCCAGGCAGCTCTTCTATTCCCAAGCCCCAAGCAAGGAGACCAAGAGCAGAGTATATAAGCAGCTTTGCCTCCATAGCAGGACGAAGAGACTAGCTGTAACAGCCTGCACAAACCACAGGCACTGTAACAAAGCTGGGCCTTTATCATCATTTGCAAAATGGCCCAAGTGGGTGAAACAATGGGGTGGACTCAAAAAGGGCTGGATTTACACCTCCCTCCCTCCCTCCTCCCATGACTCAAAATTCTCTTGAAATTCTACAGAAACAGCTTTCCTTTGGCCTGCTACTGAAGGCAGGAAGACCCAACACCAAACATCTCTTGCATTCCAGCAATATTCCCATCACCAAGAACTTTATTCCAAGGTACTGGTTACGGCCCCCATCCACACTCGTTCTCCCCCCTAGCTCAAACGTGTATTTCCTTGGGGCCCACATGCTCCCATAGGGGTCTAGGAAAAGGAACCGCTGCCACAATAGCACACAGCCCTGAGAGGCTTATTGCTTCTGTTCCTGAACAATGTACATCCACCACAACTCCTACAAAAGCCGTCCTGTATGCACGGCTTTTGCCAAGCCCCACACCGGAATCAGCCCAGGAAAGGGCCGCCTCTTACCACGGAGGCTTTGCTGGCTCCCGGCCCTCTTGGCTTCGGGGAAGAACATCCTTTGCTTCATGCGAACCGCAAGGCTTTCAACCTCCTCATCGGAGCTCTCCGGCTCCCTTGAGCTCTGCCGCTGGCTCTGGAGGAGGAAAGCGCCTGGCCTCCCCCAGGAAGCAGCGGAGCCCCTCCAAGGAGAGGCAAGGGGCAGGTGATGGGAGGGATTCCCCAGAGGGCCTCGGACAAAGACGGGATCGTCCTCACTGTCAGGGTCACTGCATGGGAGTGGAGAGAAAACAGACCCAGCAGAGCAGGCAGCCACCCTTCCAGCAACATCGGAGGCTTTTGCTGCGTGGAGGGGTCGTGATTCTGCAATAGAACAGAACAACAGAATTGGAAGGGACCTTGGAGGTCTTCTAATCTAACCCTCTGCTCTGGCAGGAAACCCTGTACCATTTCAGACAAATGGCTGTCCAATCTCTTCTTCAAAACTTCCAGTATTGGAGCATTCAGAACTTCTGGAAGTCATTCCACTGGTTAATTGTTATTTCTCCTTAGTTCTAGGTTGCTTCTCTCTTTGATTAGTTTCCATTCAATGCAATTAAACATTCTCAAAATTTATTTATTTATTAAACTTTCATGCCACCCATAACCCCAAAATCCTGTCTTCTAAGTCAATTTGGGCATTTCATAAGGTAAGTAGAGCAGAGCTTCCCTGGAGTTCTTCTTGGTGGAAATGGATGGCCGCTCCCTTCTCCTATTTTCTCAACTCCCTAGTATACCCTACAATGCTGCATTTCCTGGCGGTACCTCTTCCACACACAATCCCTGATCAGTTTTATGACATCAGCCAAAGTTAACTTGGCATCATGACCTAGCCTGGCATAAATTTTACATAAAATTAGCCCATGATCATGGTGTCTCATTTATTTCAAATTCATGTCAACAGCAAACGACAAAGGAGACTCTTAAGATCAGACCAAATGCCACTTGCATCTTCATTTTCTTTCAAGCTAGCTGCCAGCTGCCATGGAAATGGGGTGGGGGGGTGAAAGCAATGGGTACTTGGGAGGGGAAGCGTGCAGGAGATGAAAGTGGAATTTCTGAGAAGCAATGAGGAGGCCTGGACTCAGAATGGCCAGCTCGGGTTGTTTAACACCTTGAAGGCCAACCATCCTGGAGGAGCAATGCACCTGGACCAGAGACATTCTCAAAACATCTTCCTGGCCGATGACTGAACTCTGGTTGCCTGGCTACTGGGGGTGGGCTGGGCTGTGGGGTTAGTTTCAATTTGTCTCTTCACACACATTTTGCTTCAGACCTTGCCTGACTTTTGCTGCAATCAGTTCTTTCCTAGTAAAAATAACTTTTCTCTGAATCTATGGAGTCAAGGGTTTTCTTTCCTAGGGATTGATCAGAGGCCCTGACACCAACAATCAAGAGGTAAACTATACCCCAATCAAGGAACTGCCAAACAAGCTAACGGTAAACAGTCCAACCCAAGAATCTCTAATACCACCCACTGATAGGACAATCCATTAGAATATAAAGCAGGGCAAACCCCACTTCCTACCAACACTGATGATGTTACCTAGCTTGGGTAATGAAATGTTTGCAAGGAAACAGCCAAACTCAGAGAGCATTAAGGAGCCCTCAAACGAGAGTCTGCCGGCACCTTTTCCTCAGAAACAATGCAGCCTGCTGACCCTTCCACTAGGTAATATTACTGGAGGGGGAGAGGGAGGGCATGGTGAGAGGGTGTTTAGCATTATTCCCAGGGAATTTAACTGAAAGACTCTGGCCCTTTAGCATGGCTGCAAGAGTGCCATCCAACAGCAGTCATAATGATGAGGAAGGTACTTCAAAATTATAATCTTCTTCAGTTGGCATTTCTGACTATTGCACAAAAGGGGCTGTCTTGTACCGAATTGAGCGCTGAACCAGCACTCTCCCTCTTTAAGAAGCTGGGAAACAACAAAGCAGATAAACTTTGCCAAGCCCTGCTCCCAAAAGCAGAGCATTTTTTTTTGACTCACTTGCCTTTTGCTGCAGGTCCATACTTCTCTTCAGGAGAGCTAAAAAAATTTTCCTTTGAACTTTTCAGATGGAGAGAAGTGGGAAAAAATAGAATTAAGAATTAAACTCTGGAAGCAAATAAGGATTTTTAAAACTCCTCCCTTCCCCCACCTTCCATCCTAGGAAGTTAGCAGGCCCTGCAGCCCAATACTTGTGAAAGTATTGGGCCCCACCTTTACATCACTGGGCTAAACCCAGGCAGGCCCTTCTTGGACCTGAAAGAGGTCCCAAAGTCCCTCCCAAGCCAAATGTCAGGCGCAAAAGGCGGGATCCATGTGTAACTGATTTATTGCTAAAAGCCTAGGGGACAGAAATCTTCTCAACTGATGGCCAACACCTGGTAAGTTAGATAAGGGTCAGTTGGGGGGGGGGGGTGGCTACCTAGTGATGCTAGGATAACCCCAAAGCTGTTTTTTCAATAGGCAACTGGACTTTCTGGTTTTTCTTTGAAGATGTTTCGCTTCTCATCCAAGAAGCTTCTTCATTTCTGACTGGTTGGCGGGAATGGAAGGATTTATATTCCTTGCAGACAGCTAATCATTTGCATGCTTTTAGAGTTGTTGAGGCCACTTAGAGGTTTATTTGTGTCCTCAGGGTCATCTGAGTGGTGCAAATGGGTGTGGGGCCTTCTTGGAACTGCCGAGGGGACTGTGTTGGTGACTGGAAATAGATGAGGTTGTATTCCCCACCCCCCATTGAGAGAGGGCTGTTCAGTTTGGACATAGAAGGCCTCTTTGACCCCTCTTTCAAATCAGGATAATCCCTCTTTTCACCCCTCCCCCTGGCTCTGCCAGTCGTTCTCCTACACCAGCCTCCCCTCTTTCACAGGGCTCCAAATTGGGTGCTCTTCCCTGCCCTGCTTTAAGAGATTAAAATCCTACCCGCTTGATTTATCTTTTCCATTGTTAAAAGCATTTACCTCATATTAAGATTAAATTTACAAAAGCAAGCAAGTCTCACTTTCACTTTCATGACAAAGTTTTAAATATGAAATGTGGAATAAACAGCCCATTTGGCTATTATTGGCCTGAGGTTCATCATGCACTTTTAGGCGATCACCAAAAGAAACAGAAAACAGTTCATGAAAGTCAGTAAAAGATCTCTTCCCAACCCCTGGGAAAATTCTTGGTTTTTTTACTTCACCTGGAAAATCAGCTGAATCAACAGAGTGCTTGCAATATAAAGGGCCTTGTTACGGCGGTGATAAATATACTGCTCTTTTTCCAATATTTCTTAGTTGTTTCTGTGCTCATGTATTTACTGTTATTACATTTTTTGCCTGTTTTTGTTGTAAACCACTCAGAATCACACTGAGACGGGTGGCTATATACATTGGTGAAATAAGTAAATAAATTACAAAATTATTAAGCTACCTGCAAAAACTATGTACAAGTTAATACAGCTCTTTTAAACTATATACTTTTATACTAAACATAAATCGCACACCCTTTGTCCAATCAGATCTTAAAATGTTTAAAACCGAATATGTTTCAGAAAGCCCAAATCAATATAAAGTACAAAATTTCAGACCCACCTGCTATTTCTTGTCCTTGGTGTGCAACATGAAGCAGATCTGGGGATTCTCATTCTAGACAAAACTAAAACAAGCCACAGAAGGAAGCAAAAGTTAGTCCCCTGGCTTAAACGATTAAAGTCTCCAAAAGACAACTTGAAAGCAAATTTAATTTAATTTAATTAAGAATTCGCTTCCCTTTCAGGCTCTTTTGGGCCTAATGGGGAGGCCGGGGCTTAACAAATGTCTCACTTAGCAAAAATAATTTCAGGCTCAATTGTGGTCGTAAGTCGAGGACTACCTGTAGGTTAAAAAAGCTTGGAGATCACGCAAATATAAGTCAGAATTGGTGTCTGGTGTCTGGTGCCCAGGGTCCATTCCCTTCCCTGGGTTGCAAGCATAACTGGCTGTGGGAACTGGTGCTGGCAGCTGGATTGTGGGGCCATCAGCTGTGCAAATCAGCCATTTCTCAACAGGAGTGTTCCATGCAGTAGGGAGGCCAGTGCCAAAGGAACATGGCCCTCTTGGCCTGCGCTTCCAGGCAGGAGGGTTGATGCTGCTGGAATGCAGACGAGGGCTGCCTTTTCCACTGTGGACATGTGGCGATGGGGACTTTGCTGTGGCTGAGGCAGGGCTAGTCCAGCAGGGCTAGCTTGTGGGACCCTGTGCTTGCAGCTCCCTCTGCCACTTTGTTGGGTAGCCATCTTGCCTTTCCCCTGGGTGAGATCTGGAAGGCCCTGGGAACAACATTCTGCATCAACTTATAATCAGCATTCATCACCATCCAGGAGGTGGATGGATTTAATTGCAATGGGACTAGTCATCGTAGAAGAAAATTTAGCGGTGGGTGATTTTACTCAAATTTCCCGCCAGTGAGGGTGGTTTTTTTTTTTTTTTTTAGTTATTGGGTCATATAGTTTTGGCCACAGCAGTCTGATGACAGGAGAATGACTGTTGGCACGGTGTGGGTATTAGATGTGGGATGTGTGGTGATCCCTGAAGAACCAGAGGGGCTGAGTGCCTAATATTGCAAAAGTGGCTCGAGTATTAGGGAGCCCACATTGGAAGATTGAGATAAGGGGTGCAGGCCCAGGTGTGGATTCTTATGGAGACGGGAGAGCAGGCTGTAACATTCCAGTAACAACAGGTAGGAGGAGATAGGACAGGAAACATGGGTGAGATGTTCATGGGAGACTGGCCACAGGATCTTCTTCCAGCATCTGGAAGTCACTCCCGAGTCCCAGATGGCAGACTCTCAAGGCCCTGGTTGTCGGAGAGGATCTGGCTGGGATGGGAGGCATTTCCTGAGACATGCCCAGTGATATTCTGGGTCCAACACCAGCCAGGACCCCAGAGAAGGGCAATGGGGGTGGCGGCAATCATCTGAGATACTTGGGAAACAGCCAGGGGCCCTGCTCCTCAGATTTCCAGATGTGAGGCACTATTTATTAAGTTAGGTACTAAGAGGGATGGGTGGGACTGCTGTTGTACCAGCCTCCCGGATGCATACCGTTTCCTCGAAAATAAGACCCTGTCTTATATTTTATTGAACCCCAAAATAAGCACTTGGCCTTATTTTTGGGGAGGTCATATTATTTTGGAGCACGTGGAGCAAGACGGGTCTCCTCTTGCCATCTATTCTGCCCCAGCTCCGGATTTCCGAGGATATTGACATACAGCAACGATCCTTATCAAATTTATTAAGTAGCAAGAATAAACAAGACCGGCAAAGGTTGGCAACCAGCCCAGAAAACAAGATATGATAAACCAAAATACTCTGATAATAAATACGAGTTGTTTCCAGCAAGAAAGCACTAGCTGCGTGCGATTTAAATAGGCTAAGGGAGTGGCCAATTATCCTCAAGCCCTACTCTCGAGTAGGCCTCCTCCTCCTGAGTAGCCACTCCTGCCTTTTGGCAGTCCTGCGTGCTCGAGCATTGAGGAGAGGCTCCTCCACTTCGCTCTCTCCACTTGACGGAGCCTCTGGAGGTTCTGAAGGCCCTGACTGAGTCTCTGCCTCTGGCACCACATCCCCGTCAGCCTCCTCGCTGTCCGACGCAAGCGCTGGCTGTGCAGGCTGCTGGCGCGACACACCACCCTCCTCTTCGTCGGGATCAGCCACGATCTGCGCAGGCTGCTGGCAGGCCACAACACCATCTTACCTGATTTCAAGCTCTGTCTCCCTAACCCTAACCAGGGGAAATGGCGGGAACCAGCTGCGCATACGGTTAAATATTTTCGGGGAGGGTTTATTTTTGGGGGAGGGCTTATTTTCAGGGACATTTGTCTTGTTTTCAGGGAAACACGGTAGCAGCTTCTCTACCTGAGCATCTTGATTCTGTTCTGAGCTGATGTTGGAGTTCTCCAGGGTTATGGCTTTGGGACACTTGAGCTTGCCTTCCCTGGGTATGGGGTCTGAGGTATCTCAGAGTTCATGGCCACTACAACAGTCATGGATCTGTCCCAAGTCATCCAGAGCCCAATGCATAATAGTGGTCATACAACTGACCTTTTTTTCCCTGTCAGAACAGTAGTTGGGTCCTGTGGAACAGGGGGAGATATTAGTTTCTCCCATCATGGTCAGGCCATTCCCTGGTGAGCCTCCATAGTATCACCATCCATAATAATAGTTTAATTTGGTACTATATATATTTATTTTGTATAGTCTAAACCAGGGGTCCTGAAACTTTTTGAACAGGGGGCCACTTCGCGGTCTCTCAGACTGTTGGGAGGGGGGCGGACTGGCTGGGAGGGTGTGGCTAGGTGATCATGTGACATGGTGGGCATGGCCAATTTAGCAGTCCATTTTGCCAATTTAGCAGTTCATAAATAGTACACACAAATTAAACCTTAATTTGTTTTGTTCCTTTATTTGCTTTTGTTTGACTTTTCTTTTTACTAGATAATTTTTTAAGTTGTTTACGAGTCTAGTGGTTCACTTCAGAAAACTCAGTTTTGCAGCAAAAGGGAGGTTACAATCTACATCTCTCCCTCTCTCCCCCGTCTCTCAAAAAAGAAAAGTGTGCTAGAAGAGCAAATGGGAGTGGGGGAGAGAAACCTTGCTGAATTCCACTCCATTCCATTCCATTCTCTCTCTCTCTCAGGAAAGAAGTGTGCTAGAAGAATAAATGAGGGTGGGAAAGAGAAACCTTGATAAACTCCATTACATTCTCTCTGTCTCTCTCTCTCTTATTTCTCTCTCAGGAAAGAAAAGTGTCCTGGAAGAACAAATGGGGGTGGGGAAGAGAAACCTTGCTAAGTTCCATTCCATTCCATTCCATTTGCATCGCGGCTGTTTCAATCCACTTTTGGAATCTCGCTAGCTGCCCTGGAGCTTCCTCCACACGTGCAGAACGCGTGCAACAGGCTCGGGCAAGGGCTCCGCACAACTGGCAGGCAGAATCGGAACGGGCAGGCATTGCTTGGAGTGAATGTGGCAAGGAAGCCCCAAGACGGGGGCTCAGCAGCACTGATCTACTGGCCAGCCAGCCCTTCCTGCCTCCCTGTTCTGTCCCCGTCCCACACGCACACACACCAACAGACGTTCAAGAGTTAAAGACCAAACCAGCCAGCAAAATCCTTTTCCTTATGATAACGGAACTTGGCAACAACCTAGTGGCTGCTTGCCAAGAGTTTATTACTTACGAAGAGGAGAGATAACTTCTCCCCGCTTCTGGTACATCAAAGGAAACAGCTCAATAATTATAGAGTCAATCAAATCCAAAGATAATCCAGCAAAGTCTATAGCAAAAGTCCGGCAATGCAGAATGGCGTGGAAGCTTTCAGCTTTGTTCATCACAAGGTTTGACTGGCCACCACTCTCCCTTTTATACCCTGTGGGGTGTGGTCCAGTGACTCAGCCTAATCTTGGGCATGCCTTTTCTTCTGTTGCGCGCGCTTATCTCTGCGACGCTGGCGTAGATCAAGCCAACACTCATTACTCTCATCACTATCCACCTGTGGCTGCATGGACGTGCTTGGCCCCGGCCCTATCTCTTGCCCTTTGGCGGACACCGAAGGCATTGCCAAAGAGGAGGGGCCTGGAGAGGGAGGCCTTGCCAACTCCTCTCCTTCACTCTTGGAGTCCTCTCCTGCCGATGACACAGGCTCAGGTAACGGAGCCACAACACTCCCTCTCCAATGGCGGAGACGGCTGTCCTCCTTAAGGAGGGGCAGCTTAGCAGGAGAAGGACAGGAAGCCAAGCAGTGGGGGGGGGAGAAGGCAGTGGCGGCTGTTGCGGGCCCCACTTCCTAGCTCGCTCGCGTCTCGCCAGCCCCCCTTTGCCAACAGGTGCACGAGCCACGCCTTCCCGGAATTTGGCTGCAACCCTCAGCTCGGAATGGAGATGTGGGGGGGGAGGGGGGGCTCCAAGGCAGAAGGCTGCCTTCCGTCCAGGGAAGGGGCCGCAACCTCGGGGCTCTGTCTGAAGGAGCTGCGTCGGTCAGGCAGCACCCCAAAAGCGCTCTGGAGCTGCTGCCTCGCAGAACAGGGTGGGGCTCCGCTCTCCCTGTTGAACATTCCCAGTGAAGGAGGCATATCATCGGGGGTCTCTACCCCTGGCAGCTCCTGGGTGGCAACTCCACTGCCGCTCGGCAGACCCACACAGCTCGAAGGAGGCAAAGCGGCCAGCTAGAAAGCCGAGTAGAGGTGGTAAATCACGCCCAGGCCCAGCAGGCAAAAAACAGCCACCGCGAGTGGGGAAAGCCAGATCCCCATTGGAGCCCTGGCTGCCCATCTTTCGGCAGCGGCTCACCTTTCTCTTTCCATCAGCCATGGGAGAAAGGGAACAGTAGGCAGGGATCAGAGCTTGGGGCCAGCCAGGAAATTGAACTGTTGCCCAGCCCAGCCCAGAGCAGCAAAAGGCGGATAAGTCTCGCCATGTCCACCCCCACCCCCCTGAGGTGGCCCTTCAGCCTAGCGCAGCAGGCCCAGAGCAGATTTCCCTCCTCCGCCATTGGCTTTACCTTCCAGTTGCAGCCTAATGGGCTCACACCGCTCTGCTCACAGCAGCTGCCCGTGAAAGTAAGGCCTGCGCTCAGCCAAAGGGCAGGGGCCAGCAGGTGGGCGGGGCAATGTGGGCGGGGCAGCCTCGTGGTGCTGCGCGGGCTGGATTAATTGCTTTGGCAGGCCATAACCAGCCTGGGGGCCATAGTTTGAGGATCCCTGGTCTAAATTGTTTTTACGTTTTATGATGTACGCCTCTCAGAGTGCCTTATTGATATGGGCAGCTATAAAAATCAAATAAAGAAATAAAATATAATCAAGTCATAAATTCTTCTATGTCATTGAAGATACTTGGCATTCTCAGCAAGAGACAAGAAAAAATTGTTACTGTAGCATAGAGTGCTCCTTTTTCCAGACCTAACTGATCTGCAAGCACTTCGATTCCCACATTGGCATCTTCAATATTAGATTCCTTATCTGCAGAATGCCACAAGAGGCTACTTTGACCATAACAGAGTCAGATAGGGCAAGGAAAGACATTAGTCACACAGTGCAGTTATTACATGACAAAGGTTATAACATGCTCCTACTCAATTATTTTTCATTGTTTTACGGAGCCAATTTGGTCTAGTGGTTAAGGCACCTGGCTAGAAAGCAGGAAATTGTGAGTTCTAGTTCTGTCTCAGCCATGAAAGTCAGTTGGGTGATCTTGGATCAGCCACTCTCTCTCAGCCCAACTCACCTCACAGGGTTCTTGCTGTGGAGGAGGAGGATGTTAGTTTCCTTCAGTTATTTATAAAAATAATAAAGGTGGGACATGTGTTTATGTGTATACATTTTAAAAGTTATTCATTTTCTTGGCAGTTTATATTGTTCTCACTTAGCCTACCTAAATAAAATTAAGAAAAACAAGTTAAATTGTCTAAGAACAAATGCTCCAGATAACTAACAAAATCAACTTTCCATTAATAGGTTAGAAAATATATTGATCTGATTAAGTGGTAAAAATCTAGAAAAAACATAGCATTTATACAGATTTTTAGACCATCCTCATCTAAGCCATGCTCAAAGAACAGCATAGGGACCTGTGTTATAAGGTTCTTCAGAAGTGAATACAGGTAGTCCTCAACTTACAACACTTCATTTAGTGGCTGTTCAAAGTTACAATGGCATTGTAAAAAGTGACTTATGATTGTTTTTCACACTTACAACTGTTGCAGCATGTGATCAAAATTCAGATGCTTAGCAACTGACTCATATTTAAGGGGGGAAGGCAAGAGGGGAAAGAAAGTAAGTGCCATATCTATTCGGGAAGCTGCTTCATACCAGCCGCATATTATCCTGTACAAGTTGGGACTGACCGTTTAAAAACACCCTGCTTGAACCCGATTGGCTACATGGTGTGGGCAATGGGAGGTAACTGAGGGAGGGAAAAGTTGAACATAGGGATTTTGGCGTATGATTTTCAGTTCTGGCTTTGCAGTACTGCAATATATTTGACTATATCTTTCTCAACAAATGGAGCCCAGGATCGTTTCTATTTAGATGTTTAACTTGCAGCAGGTCTGACATTTTGCAACCTTCTGACAAGCAAAGTCAATGGGGAACGTAGATTCACTTAAGAATCGTGTTTCTAACTTCACAACTGCAGTGATTCACTTAACAACTGTGGCAATAAAGGTCGTAAACTGGAGCAAAATTTACTTATCGGATGTTTAATTTAGTAATGGAAATTTTGGGCTCAATTGTGGTCATAAGTCAAGGACTGCCTGTAGTATTAAGTAGATAGGCAAACAGAACTGAAAGTCATACTCCAAAAAAAGTACTTTCTGAACTTCTGCAGGTTAACTTTTACATACTTACATTTTTCAAATTCATCGTCGCTGCTTGAAGATGATGAGCTGTAAAACAGACCGTAAGAGGACTATTGGTGGCTAAACGGCCAAAAACAAAATCTACGGCTGTAAGAAAAAAAGGCACTTCCAGGAGCATAGAGGCCTTTTGAAAGGCAGGTAATGCAAGACATGCCGCTCCCTAATAAAACGTCCAAGGAAACTAAAGGTCCAGACCTTGAACTGACCACCTCCCGTCGAAGCTCTCCGCCCCCCGCCCCCCATACCCAACACCCTCGGCTGGACAACGGGGAGCAGCTCAGCCGCGCACCCCCCCCCCCCCCGCCTCGCCCCGCCCTGCTTGGCGTTTCCCGAGGTCGCCCTCGAAACCGGGCATTAACCTCCTCACGAAGAGCCCCCGCCAGAGTCGGAACTGCGCTCACCCTCCGCGTCGGGCCATCGCGCCAAGGCCGAAACCTCCGGCGGGCCGGCCAGAGGCTGTGGGGCCAGGAAACAGAGGGCCGCTCCTCGAATTTCCCGCCTCGGCGCGCGATGATGACATGACCACGGTTCCGACCATAGAGGGAGGGAGGGAGCGCCCTCCCTCCCGCGGAGGCCGTTCCCACAGCCGGTGGGCGGAGCCCGGAAAGGGCGTGGCGTCCGGGGCCGCAGGCGGGGCTGGCTTTCTCCCGTCGTGGTGCCGGCTGACGCCTTCGGGCGACCCTCGGCCAGACTCCGCGGCTTCTGCGTGGAATGGCCAGGAGACCCAGGGGCCTTTTCGGAAGAGCCAGCCGGCGGCCGTGCCAGGCGCGCACGACCACTCGCAAACCCGCGTGGCTGAGGTGCAGCTGCGGCGCGAAGACCGAGGTCAAAATAAAATACGATTCCCTTCCTTTAGAAAGCGGTCAGTCACGGCGCCGGGCCAGCAGACGGGCTCAGAAGGGAAGCCCAGGGGCTGCAGCATCTTGCACCGCATCGGCCCTGGCCGCGAGGGCAGCCCGAAGCTCCTCGGTACGTGAGGCAACCGAGCCCCCTCTCGAAAACCAGACTCGCCTTGGTGTCTCGGACCAAGTGCTTCCATTTACGCCGCCTTTCTGTCCTTCAGGCACCGAAGAAGGCGCGCACCGCGCGCTCCCTCCAGCGTTTCCCTTACGGCCGCCCTGGGAGGAGGAAGAGGGAGCCTCGGCTGCCACACTGGCTCTCCTTTGCCCTCCACGCACCCTCCCTCCAGTCCAGTGCATGGAAAACTCCTGGTGCTGGGAAGGGCTCGCCCGCCCAGGATATGCCAGCCGAGCAGAGAGTACTGTTTGTTTGTTTGTTTATTGAATTTCTATACCGCCCTTCTCCCGAAGGACTCAGGGCGGTGAACAGATTAAGATTTCATATACATATAATGATAATATATATTTTGTTCCCTGCCAGCCGCTTCTCCTTGTGGCGGCCACGCTTCCAAGTGCTTGGCTTTGGCGCCCATCGCCTTTGGGGCCCCAGGCATTCCCGGAACATAACAGCGCGCGGCAGTACGGCTTCCCATTGTAAGGACTGGGGAAGGCAACTGATGGGCATCAGAGGAAAAGCCCGCAGGCAGAAGGGCAGATGATATCTGTCAATCAAGGGCAGCGAAGTCTGCGATTAGGAGAAAGGGGCGATCCTCCCTCATTAGGGCAGAGTTCTCTTCCAGCCTGCAGAATGTTGCGGGGGGGGGGCATCTTTGGGACGTTACAGAAGCTGCATGGGAGGGGAGGCAGCTGGGGTTGGAAAGGTAGGGGGGGAGATCCCCTAGGCAAAAGGGCTCCTGGTCATGGCCTCTGAACAGCAGCGTCATGGGATTTTGATAGAAACCTCCAGGTGAGTCAGCCCAGGTGGGACCCTCCTCCTGAGTCCCCTTGCCAGGAACATCTTGTTGATGCAGGAAACCGCTGAGTCAGTTCCCAGCCCCTCTGCTTGACTGTTCTCAGAAAGCCCTTAGCCAGCAAAGCGGTTGTGGCCCTTGGACCCAGTTCTGCTGTCAGAGAACTTTTACCTAGCACTCCAAGGAAGCCAGATCTCTGTTCCATCTGACCCTTCCTTTGACCAGCGAGGCAGATTTTCCAGATGGTCAGATTTGTCTGTGGCTCAAGGGAATTTATACAGGCATAAACTGTCTCAGAGGAAATTTGGCCCTGTGCACTGCCTGGTTCATCCCACTTCTTAAAAGGCAGCTTTCTAGATCTTTGCATGCTGGGATGAGTGTGTGCAAAAGGCCTTTCAGCCCTGGCTGTCTCCAAGGAGGGCCCTGGCAATCCGCCTGATTGGGGCGGATGTTCAGAAATGCCACTTGTGCAGAACCCAGCTGTTACAACTGAGGGGACTGTTATGTTCAGGGTTCATTACTTCGGAGGCACAATCTGAATGCTGAAATTGCCTCTTCTTCCTGAGGGATTCAGGAAGAACAAACCTGGTTTCCGGGTAATAAGGACCCTTCTGGAGACTTCTAGAAGCCCACCTGGAGAGAGATCAGGGCTGTGACTTTCGCCCCTTCAAAACAAAACAGCAAGCTCAGCCCTCAGATGTGGCATTGCCTTGACTTGAACAGCCTTCTGGCTGTTCCATTTTGCTTTTTTTACTAAAACTTCAAAACGTTTATTTTACTGCATGCGCTTTGGGGGCCAAAAGACATGCTGAGCCTTTGAATGCCAGTGCCTCCCTCCATCAAGTTCACTTTACCCAGACTAACCCAACATACTTGAGTGCCCAAACACATAAACCTATGATAGCTTAACAAGTTTTGTGATTTAACAGGATACAGCCTACCATGTAGATAACTTCCTTTTCCATATACCCTGAATCACAAACTACAAAGCCCATTTTACCCTGGTCTAATGTCGTGAACTAGACCAACAAGCATGAGCTGCTGTTGAGCAACACAACATGGGTGCCAATAGGGTTATCTTCACATCTTTTATTAAGATTCAACATTCCACTTTTCCCGAGGCAGGATTTGTTATGGAAAACTGCCCGCAGTTGCTTTTTGGTGCCTAGAAGAGACAATCATCTGCACTGGATTCCTGTCACTAATCAGATTACTATCTGAAGCAGATGGGGCAGTTCCACACAATTCTACCTTCACATGACAGTTGGGAGAAAAAGCTGCATACTGGGTGACCCAAGGACCAGCTCTGGGTTTGAAACACATCTTGCATTAACCCTCATCCATACTAGGGGAGGGGGGAGGGGGGGAGCCTGATGAATTCAAGTGAGGCACCAAAGCCAGAGAGAAGGGGCTGAGGAGGTGCACACCCTCCCTTGCAAGCCAGCCAGTCTCACTTTCTCACAGAGCACACTTGCACAGCTGCACACTCACACGTTACCTAGGCAATAGTAGCAGCACCCCCGTATGAGCCATTCCGAGGGGGAGGGATGCCTCCTTTTTGACATGGTTCATCCTCTCTTACAGCCCCAAGCTTTGAGGTGGTGCACGCAGAGATAAAATCCATGCTTAGATCATTTTATTAGTTTTGAGAATGCGTGCAGCGAAGAGATTCACTGAAAGCCAAAGCTGGTTCTCCTATGACGCTACCAGTGTTAATATGGTATTATTTATTTATTAAATTTATTGATCCCATCTATTGATAAACCTTCATCTCCCTCTTGCCAGTATGAAGGATGAAGCAAGGCAATTGTACAGCCGCCCTCAGTGCACCTCCTGAGAGATGACAACTGGGACTTCTGCTGCTCAAGACTCTCCAGCAGCAGCCCCCTCCCCACCTTGACTTTATTTCAAGGCCCATGTCCCAACCCTCCCACCAGGAGAATGCCCTATATGTAGGTCCAGCAGGAAGACCAGTGGGGGGCGTGGCAGGTGTCGAGGAGGAGGGCTGCTGGAAATGTTCAGGGCAAGGAACAGGTGCCTTTCTGGTCCTGGCATCACTCTCTGCTTTCAGCCATAGCTGTGGGGACTATGGAGACTGATGGGAGAGGAATCCTGGCGTCCCAACTGGCCCTTCAGCTGCCAAAGGCGGTGGCTGAGATTTTGCACTTGGCATGTGCCCAAAGCACAACCCACACGCATTAATTGGGCAGCACGGCGCTTTCGATGAAGGGCTGGCATCAGTGCAGGCCAAGACAGAGGACCATAGCCAAGCTGCAGGGGGTCCAGTCTGGGCCTGGGGAGGTCTTGGAGGGGGAGCAGGCTGTCTGACATCCCAGGCTGCTTCTGAGCCAGCCATAACAGCCTGTTCTTTTTCAGCAGCCTCTTCGGAAGCCAGGTAGAACGGTGGTTTGAGTCCGAAGGTTTCCTGCAACAAAGGAAGAGAAGACTTTTAAAGGGACCCTGGATGTGCAAGAAGGAAAGAAGAGCTGGAGGTGGAGGGATGCTGGGCTCAGGCGCTTCTGGGTGAGAAAGGGGAAACATTCCTTTCCCATTCTAGATCTTGATAGACTGAGTTTGAAAGGTTGGGGAATCCATTGGGTATAGATCAGGCTATCCATAATATGGTTAGTCTTGGGGATACAACATGATAAGTACTGATCATAAGGTGTTTTGTGAGTTTTGTGAATTCTGCCTATATATCGGAATTATTTTTCATGGCAGTTTATATTCCCCCCCCCCTCCGCGTATCAATCTCAATTGCCGCAGGCAGGCAGGCATTAGCTGAAGTCAAGCAGGAATTTTTAAAAAAGGCTGCATTTCTCATACCTCCCCCAAAGTATGAGGTGAGGTGGTGGATCTAACATTGCTACCAATACACTTCAAGTTTCCTGAGGCTGGTGTGTGTTGGAGAAAAGCTGCAAAAACCTTTAATTTGGCCCCTCTGACTTGGTGTTAGTTGCTGCCCCCCACCCCCCACCCCAATTAATGTATCCTGGCACTTTGGCTCTTTTCGTCTTTATTTTGGCCTCTCAACTTTTAATGAGATTTCTAAAGATGAAGCTGAATTGGGTCATCTGGCCTTTCCATTAGCCAAGGCTGATCAGGAAGTTCTTGCAAATATAAAAGCTGAAAGAAGAAAATAAAACATCATAGATAGAATTGTACTCCAATGCTTCTGCTGCTGCCCAACCAAGGGAAGCCAATCCTGACCTGTCCTCTGTGGGAAAGAATGGGGAAATCATTTGGCAGATCCTTTAGGATCAGGACCCAGAAAGTCTGCATTCCTTTGAGAACAGCTGGGCAAATCACTCTCATCCTTGCTCTTGAGGGGAAAGAGAAAGAGACCCTGCAGTGAACTGCATGGCTCCCCCTGAGACGAGGCCAACACGGCTTCCTTCTGGTGGGCCTGGAAGAGCACCCCAGCAACCAATCTCTGCCACACCCTCTACAGGGACCAAGAAGCTAAAAGTGGTGTTTCTAGGCTGCATTTTCAGATGGATATGGCCGTGGCTTTGCCTCTCTCAAAAGCACCCTGTGGCTGAGAACCTGGAGAAATTGCTTTTCCACATGGACAGAGAACAGTATACTTTTCCATGCATGGAATCTGTATCCCAATCTAGAAAAAATAAACAGATAGCAGTATCGAAATGGAAAACAAGATACTACAGCCATTTGAAACCAATTTAAAGTTTAAATACTGACTTTTCAAGTGCTCTTTTTTTCCTTCATTTCAAGGCAGTGGGCAGAGTATCTTCTTCCTCATCCTCGGTGGCCAGAGCAGTGCTAACCCTGTCCTTAAGCCACAGCCAGGAAGAGGAGGGAGCTCTCCAGGAAAACCAGTTGCTCCCTGGAGCTCTGCAAGCCCCACATGAAGTCGGGCCCTGGGTTTGCCACTCAATCCCTTTCTGGCCCGGCTGAACTGCCTTCCTTCCAGGGCAGTAAGGGCAGGGGGAGGAGTGGAAAGGGAGGAAAGGAGGTGGAAGATGGTAGGCCAGGCTGGAAAGGGGAGGCCAAGGTGAGAAAAAAGTGAGGTCAATGATAGAATCCCTGGCAGGGAGCCTGGGCTGCGGAAGAGATGGGAGAGCCTGGGAGATGGCCAGAGGGCAAAGCGAGGAGGGAGGAGCACGTGCAGAGAGGAAAGAAGCTACCTGCCACAGGACACGTACGCTGGTAGCCACCCAAGAAGAGCGTGCACAAACACCAGCTGCATCACAGGCATGAGCCTGCACACCCAAGCCAGCTTACACAGAGGCTTTTCATAGTCAGCACCGTTTCGGATAACTCACCAAAACCTAGGGAGAGGCTGGCAGAGTTGCAATGGGTTTGTGACCTGTGTTTGTTAAAGCAGAGGATGCCTGGCTTCCAAGACCGTGCTGAGGGTGAGGAAGGAAGATGGGGTGTGCCCTCTTGCGCATCTCATGCCATATCCAGTCACAGAAAGCTCCTTCCTTGTGCCTTTCCTTGCATCACTCCCCCTGTTCCAGCCAAACCCTTCTGCTGCAAGCCAAAGAGGACATCAAACTGATTCACAAGCATCTCCTCTTTTCCATTCAGACGCATCTTTCAGGGAACCACAGGATGGCTGGAAAAAAACTTCCTGAAAAATGACACACCTCCAATTCAGTGCCTGATGGTACCACCCGGACAATGTGGCCAGCGATTCCTTGGCTTTGACCTGACCATAGTGCCTGACCATAGGCATTTCTAACAGACAGACAGATTAACTGAGATGGAAGGGATTTTATAGGCCATCTAGTCCAATCCCCCGCTCAAGCAGGAGACCCTACACCATTTCTGACAAATGGCAGTCCAATCTTTTCTTGAAAGTCTCAAGTGATGAAGCTCCCACAACTTCAAAAGGCAAGCTATTCCATTGGTTGATTGTTCTCACCAGGGGTGAAATGTAAAATTCGTTACTACCGGTTCTGTGGAAATGGCTTGGTGGTGGTGGTGGTGGTGGTGGGTTTAATGTGACTGAATGGGCGTGGCCAACTTTTTTAAAAAAAACTTTTAAAAGCATTTTTTCTACAACCTCTTTGGCAGAAAAGGTTGTAAAAAAAATGCTTTTAAAAGGCTCTGACGATCCCAGCTGAGTTGTCTGATCGTTAGAGACTTTTTTTTTTTTTAAAAAGCATTTTTTCTACAACCTCTTCGGCCAAAGAGGTTTTAGAAAAAATCCTTTTAAAAGTAAAAAATAAAGCCTCTGATGATCGCATGGCTCAGCTGGGCATGGGCGGGGGGCAGGGATTTTTACTACCGGTTCTCCGAACCGCCCGCCATCATCGCTACCGGATCGGATGATCCGGTCCAAACTGGGAGCATTTCACCCCTGGTTCTCACTGTCAGAAAGTTTCTCCTCATTTCTAGGTTGAATCTCTCCTTGGTCAGTTTCCACCCATTATTCCTTGTCTGGCCTTCAGGTGCTTTGGAAAACAGCTTGATCCCCACCTCTCTGTGGCAGCCCCTCAAGTATTTCCTCTTCCATCCGGTGTCAGCAACCCTATCCTTTCCTGCCAGAGCCCCTCTGCAATAGATTGCGTGACCTGCAGGCTTCAGGGAAACCAGGGAAGTTGGAGACCTTTCCAGCTGTCTCGGTGAAAATCTCCACTGAGGTGGATGGAGAGCACAGTGTGTCCCGATGGTGGGATACCCCATTAGGGTATCAATCCTGGGAGCTGGAAGTCCCACAGCCTAGCCGATGTCACAGAGCTGGTGGGGAGAAAATGGAGTGGTGGGAAGGCCCCTCAAAAGAATGTATGGAATACATCATTCTGATGCTTAGTTTTTAATGTGTAAATAACAAGATCTTTGCAGAACCATCATCGCTAGCCAAAACTCAGTCTTTTGTTTGCATCCTTTTCTGTTTGCTGCTAAGGAGGAGCTGATTTGTCTTAAGGAGGAGAGCCATGGCAAAAATCAGAAGGTGTCTGGGAGCACTACTTTATGTTGACTAGCCTATGTCTTTAGTCAGAAAAGATCTTGCCAGGCTCCTCCTGATTCTTTGACCAGAGGGTGACCAAAGTCTTGCTCGTAGTGTCATTGCTGGATCCCTTTGACAGTTGGATTATAGGGCATTAAATTGGATTCTAACCAGGGAAGTGATCAGAGGCAAAGTCCTTGCTGTGCTTGCTATTCTCCGTGTTTAAAATAGCACTCCAACTCAACTCAACTCAAGAAAATAGGTTGCCCTGACTCATGAGAAGCAGAAGCTGACTCCAGCAAGCCTGGTCTTGCACCCACTGCTTCCTTTGTGGCCCTGCAGAGTGCAATGTACTACTCTTAATGTGTAAGAGAGCAGATACACTGCAGTTCACCTCCTGTTCAATCATAGATGGTAGCACTGAGAGCTTTAGAAACCCTACAACCTGTAGCAAAAGAAGATGTGGCCTTTCTTACTAGTCCAGCTTCCTGTGCTACCCAACGGAAGAGGCAATGCTTCAGTTTGTCCAGCTCCTACCATCAGCCCTGTCTGTCCTCGGGGTTGGCTGAATTGAGGAGGCAATGGCTAGCCCCCTGCTGGCCATGTACCATCACTTGTGCCTCTTGAATGTGTGGCTCAAAAACATTTGTTCAGGTTCATTTCCCTACCTACAGCAATCTAAGCATCAGGGGAGTGGAACCAGAAGTGCATTCCTCACCCAAACTCTGTAAGCTATAAAGATACCTCCAAATTGCCCAAGGACTCCTGGGCTGGCACCCGATGTTTGCATGGAGCCCATTGAAAGGAAAGAGGGTTCTGCATCCTTGATGTCACTTGTTGATGGCAGCCTTTGATCCTGATCCTGCAATCAGCATGGCAGCGTGGAATGCACAACAGACAAATTATGCAGACCGAGGCGGTCTCCCACAGACTCCCTGGTTCCATCCTTGTTGCTAAAACTCTGATTTCTTCTCATCTTCCTTCTTCTCCAAGTGAAGACATTCTTGTCCTGCCAAGGTACCAGAGGCCCTGGGGCTTGGCAACCACACCTTGCTTGATATCACTTGCACACGTTGAGTTATGCGCAACCCAACAAGACATAAAGTCTATTTACAAGACTGCCATGTATCATCCTTCTCCCTCTAGAAGCATTCTTGAGGTACAGAATGAACAGCTCTCTATCCATATAAGAAAATTAAATGGTTGGTTAACTTAAATAGGGCACCATCTTTTATGGTGGGGGGAGAATAAAATAAAAAAGGACAAATATTTTTATTGGAAGTGGTGCATCTGTCATTGCTAGGAAAGATATAAAATACAGCTACAAGACACCTTCAAGAATTGGAGAGGAGGGCCCCGGGTGGAGGCAGAACAAGGAGGGGTGGATGGAGAAGCCCACTTTCTCCCCCCTTGCACTGCCCCCACGTTCTGTCCCAACAGTGACAGGGGAAAACCTCCCTTCTGCCAAGGGTCCCAGCTGTGCCTTCCCTCTCAGGCTAGGGTGGAAGGTCTCTCATCCGCCAGCTGTGTCCCAGAAGCTGACCCACTTGAGAATATGAATGGGTGGGGGAGTGGGGCTGACACACTAGGGATCTTCCCCATAGACCTGTCTTGCCTTCTCCTTTCTGGCTTTCAAATGTCAAAGAACGGATTCCTTAGAAGACTTCCAGTTTCAACAGCCGATTCATTTTGTAATGATATTGCATCATTGGTGGCAGAAATGCTATGTGGTTCCAATGGTTTCAGAGTGATTCTTAGGACTTGTTTCTATGCCAATTTTTTTTTTTTATACTCCTTAGTGAGCTGAACTCCACTGCAGACCAACAGCCTAAGGGACGAATGTCCAAATGTGAAAGAACATGGAATTCAATATTAGGGTTAGGTCATGCTTTGAGGGTTGAAAGATGGACAGCAGCCCTACTGTGCACATTTGCCCTAAAGCCAATAGGGTGGGTTTATTCCAAGTTAAGAGTGGATTCCAGCTTTCTTAATTTGCTGAGCTACTTAAGCGCAAATACATTGATTTCAAAGGGCTCGGGGACATTTAACAAGGTCCTGGATGGTGGCCAGAATACACAAGGCAGCTCTGGAACTCAGTAAGCGCAACTGGCAAGCATCCATTATTCAACCCCTCCCATCCACACCTACTCACTGCCCCTCAGCAGGGACTCAGCATCTGTACAGGGCAGTGGGGGGGGGGTCGGGGAGGGCAGAGGGAAAAAGAAGTAACCACCACTGTGGTTCCTCAATGAAGTCTTGAAGCATGCACACAACGGGCTGTGCAACAGACCCTTTGTGAAGAAGGCAGCTCAGCTGAATTCCAGGGCTTGGTCTACTTTTGGTGCTAACCCTTGAAAAGGCCAAAGAAAGCTTGTAACTCACGGCCGCCAGGCCTGCACGAAGCTCTCCTCGGCGTTTGGGTCTCTAGGGGAAAATTCTGTTCTTGGCACCCCTGGAACCAGCGGCCAAGAGGAAGCGCTAGCGAAGCAGGCAATGCTGGCAGTAGTGCAAAAGGGACAAGAGAGCAGGCGTATGTGTGGGTGGGGGGATGTCTTCCCGGTACCACTGATTCCCGTCCGGGATTGCCCTGGTCGCCTTCCACGCTACCCGGGAACGGGCCGCCGGAGTGTGAAGGACGGAGCCTGCCCTGCCGGGAGCGGAGCCCTTCTAGGGAGGGCCACCAGAGGCTCCAGGGGCCGCGTGGAGATGCAGCAAGCGAGCTTACCTGGGCAACGAGAGCAGCGCCTCGCGCCCGGACGGGTCAGGCGGGCAACACGACCCGAGTTCGGCGCCGGCCAGGTGGAGGAAGAGCAGGAGCAGCAACGGCAGGAGGCGGCGGCTGATGCAACTCTGCCCAGCCGGCGACTGGCGCTTCATGGCGGCAGAAGACGGGACGGGCTCTGGAGAGATGCCCGGGAACGGCGATGGAGGCCGCGCTGTCCACTCCCCGCGATAGCTTCCAGATTCGAGGTGGGATTGAGCCGCCGTTCTTGGACCCTCTCGCGGGGGTTAGTCGCCCGTCTCTGCCGTCGCACCCGGCCGGCCCCGGGTTAAATACCGCTCCTTCCCCGACGGGGCGGGGCGCCCGGCCGCCACGGCTCTGCTCGGCCCGCCCTGGGCCTCGGCAGTCGCCTCCTTCGGGGATGGCTGGACAGGAGGTGCGGGGCCCGCACGGGCGGCCCCTCGGAGGGAAGGTGGTCCCTCCAGCCGGCGCGGCTTTTACCCAGCGGCGGCCGCTTCCTGGGCGCGGGGAAGCGAAAGCCAGGCGGCCGTGCCTCCCCGCCCGTGGCTCCCCTGCTGCCCGGGTCGCGCCTGCCGTCGCCCTCGCGCTCCCATCCCGCAACAAGTCCAGGCTTGTTGTGGTTGCGTCGCCCGGCAGAAGCTCCAGTCCGGGACTGTCCACGGCGCGCTGCCTCGCCTCTGCTCCAAGCCCTCCGCTCCTCCGGGACCCGGTGCGGCGCGGCTGCCGGGAGAGCATCCAGAGCCCCTCGGGTAGCTCCCAGCGGGATATTGAAGGACTGGCCGAAGACGGCCCGCTCCCGCGCCGGGATGACAGAGCTCGTCCAAGGCTAGCGCCGAGGGCTCAGAGAACTTTCCCGTGCCGGTGGCTCTGGCGCAGCTGCAGGGCATTCGTGAGAGGGGAACTCCGTCGGACAACCCGAACTCCACGGAATTACGCCGAATTTCCACGTCCTATTTAAAGATGGGAAGAAAAGTCATTTGCTAGCCTGGAGGGCTGCCTTTTATCTCAAGATAAATGTCAAGGGACATTTCAGGTGGCAAAGAAAACCTACAACCGAAATAACTGCGACCTGTCCAGTTGTTTGAAAAATCCTTTTCAAAGCCTGTGAAGCAGAGCATCATCCCCAAATCCTGGCATAAGTGCTCAAGAAATGCAGGACAGCGCCTCCCTTAACTCCAAGCAGGTAACTTTCACAGCCAAATTGCCCATTTGTTTCAGGCTCTTGGCTAACAGCAGAGATGCACTGCAATTTCACCACAGGCCTTCTGGTCAGTCTCTTCCAAGGACTGGCCTTTGCTCACTACGTCCAGTTCCCGGGGTCTCCCTCCACCCTTGAATGGATAAAAAAACTGGTATTTTCTTCTCCCTCTGCCGTCAAAGACAAAGCTTAGCAGATGCTGCAACCTCTGTTCTGCACTCACAAAGTATCCGAACAAGGGAGCTCATGAATGCCGTGAGGAAAAAGAGGCACCTGCAGGATCTGGGGGGGGGGGCGCGGCTTTGTTTCACAGCGAGTGGAATAATGGAGACCCTGGATAGCCCTGGTGTGGCTGGACTTCCATTCTGGCCTCCTTTGGCCATCAGAGACAGGTTTACTGTTGACATGCAATTATTTCAAGACCTGGCCTTCATTTTATCTCAAAAAGGCTTCTGATGCTTCTGTGAAAAGTCGATTTCATCCTATCTGCAAAGCAAAAGAGCCAGCCGTGCCTGGCATCCATTCCCTTCTGGTCTTCCCAGAGTTCAGAACTTCAGAAGAGCCTGAATTGTCGAACAACTTGATTGAATTTGTCCCGTCCACTCAGGTCACACGTACAAAGATGTGGCAGAGCTTTCTTTCACAGGGAAGGAAGTACGAGTTGTTAATCACCCTTAAACACCTTCTTCCTTTGCAACTGGGAGAGCTGCACAGCCTTCTTATTTTCTCATTCCAGGTTTCTCCTGGCTACAAAACCATGAAATCCATTTACTTGCCTCTTCAGTGTTGGTTTAAAAATTACAGGTTCCTCTTTATTTAACATGTTCTCAGAGCGGTTAACAAGATCATAATTTAGCGGTAAACAGTACAATAAAGTAAATCCATTGGCAAGGAAACAGGACATTTCAAGCACACAAGTCACAGCAACACTCATTAGCCTCTGATCCAAAGGCAATGCTGAATGAGAAAGACGTTTGGCCAGTCTAGAGGGTGGCACAAATCACCTGAAGTGCACAACCAAGCAACGGCATCACCTCCTGTGTAAAACACAGCCATCAGTGCCTTAATGAACATATCACATTTAAGAAAAAGCATAGCACTTCCTCATGTAAACTCAGATTCATATCTGAAGGGTTGCCTGACCCAACATTCAAACAGGGGCATTACTCCTAAGATTGACAAAGTTAAATACAAAGGGGAATGTTCTGACTTAATTAGTTTACAAGAAGGATGTTCAGTTTAAACTCTCCCAAAAGCTGTGGAACTTCTGCAACAGCTCACTATAGTGGCTAGGTGTGAGGCACCAATCTGCTCATTCTGCCCAACTGCGCAAGAATCTGGATGGCTTTAACATTAAAAGCAGGAAAACAATTACACAATGAGAACACAGATCAAACATATGCAGAAAAAGGATACAGGTTATTTTTGCTTTACAACTATTCTTGTTCCGTGACTATTTGAAGGGACGCCACTGAACAAGGAGGTTTTTATAACCAGGCTTTACAGATCTACATCCCTGCAGTCACATGATCACAATACAGGCACTTGGTAAGTGTCAATTATGGACTTTGCTGCAATTATGACAGTTGCAGCATCCTGAGGTCCTAAAAGCACCTTCATGGAGGCTTCCTACAAGCTAAGTCAATGGGGAAGCCAGTACGAGCTCCGAGAGCACCAAGAATCTTGAAAGCCTGGCAGTGTCTCTCTCTCTCTCCCTATTATACCAGAGAGAGCCAAGGCAGAGTAATCTAAAGTTTCTTCCTCCTGTTTTTTTGGGCTACGTTCAAATTTTCCTAAGAGCTGCTGCATATTTGTCAAGGCTATCTCTGTATTCATATAGATCAATATATCAAAACAAACATTTGATACAATTTCCAAGTTATTTATAAAATTTGTATTTGCAAGCCACCAAACAGCCTCCACCAGTGGGCTCAGGTAGTTGAGGATCCACTGAGGAGCAGCCTATCTGATTCCTTAGAGGTTACAGGGCCAAAAGAATCCCAAATAATATGGCAAGACGGACAGTCACATTCTGCTAGCTGGCCACAGTGGCCCAGAGGCAAACCCCTGGAGAACTCTTATCTGCAGGAAAACCAACCATTTGAATAAGGGCCAGTGGACAACAATCCAGCGAAGCAAGAAGAGAGAACTAAGAGTATTTTACCTGCTTTATCACCAGAGTGATAGATCTTGTGCTTCTTCTGACATTCTTTGCCTGCTTCTGCTGCTTCATCTCCCCAGTCCTCTGCAAATCAAGGGGACACCCTGGGAGGCTGCTTAGGGATGATTTTGACAAGGGCCCGAGACACCTCCTCTTACTAGTAATGAAACAGATCCTCAATCAATTTGTCCAATTCTCTTCTTAAAGAAATCCCCAATTACTTGCCAGGGGCCCGGAGCAGACCATTTGAAAGCCCCACTGAGGCAGCAATGGCAGTCAATGCATGTGAACCAGGAAGTTTTCTGACTGTGGCAAAAACAAGATACTAATATCTTTCTTATCCAAATAAAATAACAACTGTTCTACCTTATGACCCTTCCACATGGATTGGATCAAAATGCTCAATTATTTATTAAATTTATATGCCATTTATCTCACTATTCAAATTCCCTAGATTGCAAGGGAAAAGTCAATCAATGGCTTCCAAAAAAGAAATGAATTTCTAGATTCAACCAGTTTTTGCTCCTACTGAATGGAAGCTTCAGTGCTACGTTTCTAGCGTAAGCCTCATATTATCTTGGGGGTTGCAAAAAGGAAAGTATAAATGAAAGGAGGAAAATAATACGGAATCAAACAGAAAAAAAACCCCAGCAGGATGGAGGACACTAACTACAGAAAGGCTTTAACAAAAAATTTTTTGAGGCAAATGAAATGGTTGCTAAGTAAAAGATCCCTGTTAGTTGTGGGAGATAAAGAGAAGAGTTCACTGAAAAACGTAAGGCCCCACAAAAAACCATGTGATTCAACTTTACAAAGTTAGTAAATCAGGAACATTTGGTGGCAAAATCATTATTCCATGCAAAGCAATTCCAGTTTCAGAAGCAGAAACAGAAAGGAAGGTCCACTGCAGCTGAGTTAAAAGAAACTGTCTAAACAATGAAATTTAGCGACAGGTTAAAAAATACACTAGGAGATTGACCAATCTGAGGATTTTGAAAGAAAACACTAAAAAGGACTTTTGATAGAACCAATGTAAATAGTACATCCTGCTAGGGGAAAAATTTGATAACGAAAATGGAAGTGGATGACAAACCTGAAACTCTTATACAGCAACCTAAGAAGTGAAGAGATTGGCAATGTGGTTCTTTTCAGCAGCATCTGCAAGATCTTGCTACGTTCATTAGAACGAAACTCCACCTGTGGTTATATATGCGAGTGGGACATAAAGACACAAGCAGTGCCCTGCTGGATCAGACTCCTGTCCAGTCTAGTCCGTCGCTCTGCTCTCTCAGCGGCCGGTCTATTGCCCACAGTCTCCCAGCAGGTGGCCTCTGGAGGCAACCCACCGGGATCCAGAGGAGGCCCCCACAAAAAGGACCCGCTTTGTGATGTCACGAGGCTGCTTTTGTTAACCTGACCCTCCTCTTCCCCTGTGGACTCCACTGGCTAGCAGCTATTTTTCACCAGGAATTTCAGCAGCATCTCTTCAGCTAGCTACTCAACAAAAGCTGTTGAATATACAATTAAAACTTAGACGGGAGAGAAGTGATATTGTAAAATATAATAACCAGGAAGACTACAATTTCTCAAGCTTAATTTGAGAAGTGGCATTACAGGACAAAATAGAATAACAAGGTTTCACAGAAGCCATGAAAAAGGTGTTAGATTTGGTGCCCACATTACAACCTCCACTTACCAGAAGTCAGTTTATGATGCTGCACAAAAAGGTATCGGCCCAGTTGTGGCCGCTATTATGAAACAGCAGCCGGTACCCAGCGGCTTTTGCATCCCATTCCCCCATGGTTGCAGGGACTCAATATTTCAATTCAGAATAGAGCTGGAAGGGACCCTGAAGGTCTTCTAGTCCAACCCCCTCGCTCGAGCAGGAGACCCCTGTACCCCTTCGGACAGGCAGCTGTCCAGTCCCTTTTTAAAAGCCTCCAGGGATGGAGCACCCACAGCTTCTGAAGGCAAGCTGGTTCCACTGGCTAACTGTCCTCAGTTAGGAAGGTTCTCACTCCGGGACCTATGTTCCTCAGCCACCCTTCGCTCTTCCTCCTCCAATCCCGCTGCAGCTCCGGGGCTTTTTCCCGGGCGGAGGGCCGGTGACAAAAGAGCGCCAGGCAGGAAAGGACGCGGGCGGCTTCGGCCTTCTCCTAGGCCAGGCAGCGGAGGCCACCGGTCAGCAGCCACGGCCGGCCCCACGAGGCAGCGCAGGAAAGCAGCCCGGCAAGCGAGGGCCCCGCTCCGCTCCTTGGGGAGGCCGAGGGGCTCCGGGCGGAGAGGACCGAGCGGGGCCGCCCAAATCGCCCCTCCCGCCCTGCCTCCAGCCCGGGGCTCCCCGGCCTGCCCCCCCCCCCCACAACACCGGCAGGCAGCACCGAGGCGGGGGGAGGAGGAGGGGGCGGGCGGCACCTGAGCCGGAAACGCCCTTGGGGAGGAGGGCCCGTGCCGCGGAGGACGGGCGGAAGCGCCTCGCTGAAGAGCCCCCGCCACCTCCGCGGGGACACGGGAAGGGGCGGCCCCTTGCATCCGGGCCACCAATCCGGCCGCGCTTTCCCCGAGGAGCTGCCCACCATTGGCTGGATCCTGGAGCTGCGCCTGCGCCCTGCGTTCGTTCTGGGCAGGCCGGCCTCCCGCCTCTCGGGCAAGATGGCGGCGGCGGCGTTGGAGGCGGCCGGGGGCGGAGGGGCGGCGGCGGTGGCGGGAGCGAGACTGGCGGCGCCTGGACGGCGATGATCCGCAAGTCGGCCGCCGCCTCCTTCTCCTCCTCCTTCTCCTCCGGCGGTGGCGGCGGCTCCGCGGAGCTTCTCTGGCATGGCGCGTCTCGCCGACTATTTCGTGGTGGTCGCCTTCGGCCCGGGCAAGCGCGGTGAGCGAGCTAGCGAGCGACCGGGCGGGCGGGCGAGCGGCAGCCGGTCTCGGGGAGGCCCCGGAGGCCTCTCGCGGCGCTGCCCAGATGGCCTCCAGGGCTGAGTTTTCGCATCGGGGCGCTCGGCGGGCGCTGATACGAAGAGGCGCCAGTCGCCGCCGGATCGCAGCGAGAGCTCCTGGGGAAGGCCGCGAGCATCCAGGCCGCGGAGCATCTCTCGCCGCCGAGCGGGCGGCTGAGCCGCGGTTCCCCGGGAGCCCGAGGGAACGGTGCGCGGGCGGCGGCCCGGGGGAAGAAGGTCCGGTCTGCGGTGGCAGAGGGGCTCCGGGCCCTCGCGGGAGGCCGTGAACTAGAAGGGCCCGGTGGGGGGGCATGAGGGACGGAAGGTCTGAGCGGGGCCTCCGCCCGTCGGGTCTCCCGCTTGGCGCGCGATGCTCTTCCCGGGGCTCCCCAGGCGAAGCCTGCAGGACGGGGCAGGTTTCGGTCCTTTCGCTATGAACAGAAGAGAAAAAACCGTTGGTGCCGGAAGTGGGCCGTTCAGCTCAGTAGGGACCGGGGATGACAGGAAAGCGATGCCTGCCCTCGCCCTGCCTCGGCCCACACAGCATGGAGGCTGAGCATGGAGCCAGGTTTTCAGGCCTTTCGCTTGAACTGCTAGGTCTTTGCAGACGCGCTTCAAATGATCCCGAGGGCTGCTACTTAATCCCGATCTAGCTGCTTGGCCCGGTTTAAGTTTCTGGCTGTGGCTGTGAGGCGAAACACCCAGCTGCGCTCCTGCCGCCCTAAGTTCCCCTGAAGAAGAGTCATCAGCAAGGGCTACCTAGCAGCTCTGGGCCGGCCGCCGCAGCAGCATCAGCAGCATCTGACAGGCTCGGCTTGTGGACGGGAAGCCACTGAGCGCTTGGAGCAAAGATGTTCTGTTAACCACAAAAGAGGGAGGAAATGAGGCAACCCGAGAAAATTCAGTTTATTAGCAGTCGGATTTAATATAGCACAAGGTTGGAAAACTGCAACACAACTTTTCTTGAATCGATATTTAAAAGTGTGGGGAATAGCATTGACTGCAATACAGCAGCAAAAAAATCTTTATTCATACAGAGCCTTGGTATTTTAGCCCTAACGAGAAAGCTGTCCCCAAAAGTTCTGTTTCTATAATTGGCTTTATAGAAAAAAAAAAGTGGATATTTCTTAAAATTACAAATTCAATTATATTTTCCCGAATTATCCATGTTGTACTTTTATGTCCTTTATGTTGCTACTTAAGTAAGAAATGTTTGGGGTTTTGATTTTGTTCATTTTTTTTCTATGTATTTAGAAAAAAATTATTAAAAACGACTAGTGAGAAAGACATTAGAATTAGGTAAAACATTCTCTTTGCCAAACCCAAGTGGTGTTTTAAGGCCTTGAGATTTGTGCTTTCAGTTCACTGAATTCTTTCTGCTGACTAACAGACCAGTCAGATAAACACTCCTCTATCACTGAAGATAGAAACAGGCATGGAAAACCAAGGAAAATCTTCAAAAGACCTGAAAAGGGCCAGCCTCGAATGGGTGTTGTAAAGGACACCAAGGGACAGATAGCAACAGCACTAAAGATGATCAGATGAGGATGGAAGGAGCAGGGCCAGCTCTAGAAATTTCAGCAAATTCTGGGCAAAGTTATATTCTTGAGTCTTTTCTGACATAGACATGATGATACATAATAATTTGGAAATTAAAGTGGTTCGAGTTGAATCAGTGATTATCAGCTGCTGTCCTGTTACTGAAATAAGATGAAAATTATTAAACAACATCACTATAACATATAATAGCTGATTATACTCTTTAACAGAATATACATTTTGGGGTTATTCCATTAACTATAATAAGTATATTTCAGGTAGTATCAAAGTATCAGAGTTGTTGGGAGTCCGCTGCCATTTAAATTTAATAAATTGTTTAATCAGTGGACATTTATAAGGAAAGGAATCTTACGTGTTGTTTGAATTCTTTTAAGTACTTTGAAATAATTCAATGAAAATTTGAGTATTTCAATTGTAAATTTCAAATTAATATTGACATTAATAAATAGTTAAGTGTTGCAGAGAATCTATAGGGAATAATAAATATTGTTAAAATGAGTGTTACTTCAAGACTGTTACTTAACATTGGAAGAATTCTTGTGTTGTTTTTTGTTAGGTATTTAACATATTTTGATACGATGTTGAGAAAGGTTCAATAGGACAAACTTGGAGGTTATTATTGAAATGACAACTTAAGAAAATTGGGGCAGCGGGTGGAGACCGACTTTCCCAATTTCCATTTCCATCATTGTGCTTACATTTTGAACTTTTTGCTGTGGAATCTAAGTGATTCTCCCCAAAGAATTGTGAGCACTACTAGAAAATTATTATTTGACTCTGCAGGTGACTTGCAAGGTTTTGACTTCGGTATCAAGCAACAGTGAGCTCTTCAACATTAAAAAAGTTTAAGATATATATGGGATAAGCCTCAGAAGGAAGTTTAATTCCTATGAGAAATTGTGGTAACGGGGAACCTTGATTTATGACCAGAATTTCTATTGTTAAATGAGGCAGTTGTAAAATGAGACATTGTGTGACCATAATCCTGGCCCTTCCAGCTGCCCTTTTTAACCAAGAATTGTGGATCATAAGTGGGAGGAAGCTTCCAGTGAGGAAGAGTGCCACGCACAAGTTTGGGGGTGCTGCAAAGCCCTTAAAATCGGACTTTTAAAGAGAATCCCGAAAGTGGACAGAAGGGGGTTTGTACATCTTCATCCTAGGTACCAGTTAAGGTGTTCCTAGATCAGGAAGTGTTATTGATGGTTAATCATACTTTTTATTTGGATTGGTGCAATTCACTCTACGTGGGACTGCCCTTGAAGACCATCTGGAAATTCTGGCTGCTCGTCAATGCGGCAGTGCAATTAGTAACAGGCTCAGCTAGGTTTGGTATGTGACATCACCACTTCAGGAATGGCACCAGCTTTCAGTCGGTTTCTGAGTGCTTATTGTTCTGCTTGAAAACTTCAAAGCTCTTCAATATCCAAATTTCTCTTGACATGGGGTATGGTAACATCAGTTTGCCAATGATACTCAGTCATACATCTCTACCCAGGGCGAGCCACATAATGCCATTGAGGTCCTTCCTCAGTGCCGGAGGCTGTGAAGGTCAGGAAGGGGGGTGGGGAAAGATCTTAGTTAAATCCTGTCAAAGATTGAGTAGCTGTGAGGTCCCTGCGTCAGGCACGAAAGACCAGGACCACAGGAATCTTCTCAAATAAAGGTTAGCACCTGCTTGGAATTAGTTAAGGGTCAATGGCATTCAAAAGGGATTAGACCGAGTTTGCTTATGGCTAATGGCTACGTAGGGACTCTAGACTGATCCCTCTTTTTTACTCTGCTCCCAGATTCTGCCCTCCTGCACCCTGGCTCTGTTGATTTTCCCTCGTTATCTCTGCCTGGAGGTGCACTCCTCCAAGTCAGAGTGGAGGCACAATTTGGGTTTCTCTTGGACTCACTGCTCCTGCCCAAAGAGCAGGTGGCTGTTGTGGTAAGGGGACATTTGCACAGGTTCTTCTGCTGCCTCAGGCATGACCATTTCTGGACCAGGAAGCCTTGCTGATAAAGACTTATGCCTTAATCTCAGAGTCTGTCTCTCTGTCTCTGTCTCTGTCTCTGTCTCTGTCTCTGTCTCTGTCTCTGTCTGTCTGTCTGTCTGTCTGTCTCTCTCTCTCTCTCTCTCTCTCTCTCTCTCTCTCTCTCTCTCTCACACACACACACACACACACACACACACACACACACCAATGTGGATTGTTGTAGCATTGTGTACTTGGGGCTGCCCTTGAAGAAGCTGCAGGTGATCCAGAATGCAGTGGTGTGGGCAGTTTGGGGCATTTCTGGATTCCAGAATACTTCCAGGGGTGATTCATGGTGCTGATGATCACTTAAAAAGCCCCCAGAAGGATTTTGACTGGGACAAATGCAGAGTCTTATATTTGGGTAGGAAAAATTAAAGGCATGAGGATTGGTTGGAGGAGCATTTTGAGCAGCAGTATGTGTGGGAGTGGATCTGGATGTCTTGATCGACTTCAGATTAAACACAAAGAGCGTGTTGCATTTGCAGGAAAATCATGCCCGAGACACTGGCTGCTTCCAAAGAATGGCAGTGTTAAAATAATGGGAGTCCTTGACCCTTTCCATTTGGAGAGGACCAGCGAGAAAGGAAACCCAGTTGAAGACTGGCTGAGGGTTTGATAAAGTTTAGCCCGGAGAAGATGTGAGAGACTCCAGAGCTTTCTTCACATCTCAGGAGGCATGTCATTCATGCAGCCGGCAGATGTGTACAGTGTTGTTCCAGAAGAAATAATGGGAAGTGGATTATTGCAGGACTTCAGGAAAAATGCCGCGTAGTAGTAGTAGTAGTAGTACAGACAGTCGCAGGAGACAGTGGAGAGGCCGAATCCCCTGCCCTGAAGGAGGTTGGGCCAGGGCTTAGACAGTGCTCCTTCCTCTTGTGCCTTTCTCTTGCGAGTGTGGAAGACGCAGCCGAGGCGTTCCTTGATGTGGCTTTTATATGCTCGACCTGCCAACCTTGTAATATTCTACTTGAACGAAGTTGGAGGCCCTGAGCACAAAAAGCCTCAAAAAGGTTGTTTTAGAGTTTGAGAAAAAAGGCCTCCCCTCTCGGACAAGATGGCAAAAAGGCTCCTCTGCAAAATAATAAATGAATAGGAAAGCATGGGATCCTTTATTCTTAAATAGGATGCTGGGAATTTTATGATGGGAAATGCTTCTTCTCATGGTACATAACTCATATGCAGAATTCTATGCCGTTATAAATTATGTATTTATAATTTATCTTCTGATGCAGGTAGCCCTCGACTTACAACCATTCAGGGTGGATTTGATTTAAATCGAGTTGATTTAAATCACAATTTAAATCATGATTTAAATCACTAGTAAAAAGGCTTGATTTAAATCAACTCGATTTAAATCATAATTTTTAAAGAGCAACTGTCATCTCTGCTACTCCTTTGACCCACTATTGACTCACCGATAGTCCCAGTGTTGCAGAATATACAGCCTCATGCTACATAACTAAGCTCCATTTCATGCTGAATAAACTAAATTATTTATGTATCTTAAATAGAAAACTATCTTACAATAGATTTTTACCCCAAAAGTTTTTTTATTAAAATAAATGTGATAAAAATCAAAAAAATCCAATTTAAATCAAAAAAATCTGATTTTTTTGATTTTTTTAAAAAAAACCATTGATTTTTATCCACCCTGCAACCATTTGTTTAGTGACTTTTTAAAATTACAATAGCACTAAAAAAGTGACGTGATTTTTTTCCCTCACACGTACGACTGTTGCAGCGTGCCTGTGGTCATGTGATCAAAATTTGCATGCTTGGCAACTGGCTCATATTTATGATGATTGCAGTGTCCTGGGGTCACATAATCCCCTTTTGCGACCAAAGTCTATGGGGAAGACAGATTCACTTTACAACCATGTGAATAGCTTAACAAGTGCAGTGATTCATTTAAAGCTTTGGCAAGAAAGGTCATAAAATGGGGCAAAATTCACTTGACAGCTGCCTCACAACGACATAAATTTTGCGCTCCAAAATAGTTCAACCTTATTTCCAGACAAATGGCTGCCCATTCTCTTCTTAAAAGCCTCCAGCAATGGAGCCCCCCCCCCCAACGTCTGGAGAGAAGCCCTTCCACTGGTTAATTGTCCTCACTGTCAGGGAGCTTCTCCTTAGATCCAGGTTGCTTCTCTCCTTGATTAGTTTCCATCTGTTGCTTCTTGACCTGCCTTCAGGTGCTTTGGAGAAGAAGTTGACCCCCTCTTCTTTGGGGCAGCCCTTCAAAGAATATAATGCCTGTATTAGGACAGTGCAGTACCTGCAAACCTAAGATAAAATGTTTGCCTTAAAGCACACAAGAGTGAGTGGCATGATCTTGAAAAGCAACTTTCTAAGTATGTAACTATAGGTGCTCCTTGACTTGACCAAGCCTGGAATTACAATAGTACATTGTTGAGCAGGTCACCATCAGACCATGCCCGATTTTATTACTTTTTTTGCAGTGGTCATTAAGTAAATATCATGATCACTAAGTGAACCCAGTTTAGTCATTCTTTCCCGTAAACCATAACCACTGGTTTCTGGCAAAAAAAAAAAAAAAGGTCATTAATTGTGGTCAGATGACTGTGTGATGACGCAAAGAGCCATAAATCCCGGCCAGTTCCCAGGTGCGCAAAATGATACCCCATGATTGGGGGGGGGTGACCGTTGGAACAAAACGGGTTGTAAGTACTTTTGGGGGGGATCTGTTGTAACTTCAAATGGTTGCTAAGCAACCGGTTGTAAGTTGAGGACTACCTGTAAAATCTCTGCTTAGTTTGTTCAAGTCATTTTTGGTTCCTGAGAACCGGCTGATCTAGTGCCTGAGGGGGCATGACCTGCCTGAAGCCTTCTGGCTCTCTTCATGTCCAAGGCAGGACTCAGTTTCCCCATTTCACTGCATCAAAATTGCTCTCAAAAATAGGCGATATGCAACAAGAACCCAAACCTGCAAATCCATAAAGCTGCTTAGAAGGCTCGATCCCATCATGCATAATAGAGGGGAGCAATGTGATTGTGCCAGCTGAGCCAGACCCACATCTCCCAAGCAGGCCCACAAGCAGTGGAGATTTTGCAGCCCTGAGGGTTGAATGGATGCCTCTGTTAATTTGAGGCCAGGTTCGTTTTGTGCTGTCACACGGTGGGCTCCCTGGTGCATTTTGAAAAGTTTGGATGCAAAAAGATTTTGAGTTGTGCTTCAGGAGAGTTGTGTCGGATCCAGATACAACCAGAGCCCTTTAAAAACATTTTGTCCCTGTATCTGTTCACTTTATTGCTGGCTGCTTCCCTTCCCTTAAATAGAGCCATAAAAATAAGAGGCTTTTACTTCCTGCATTCTGACATCACAATGCAATTAAACATGTTGCCTATCACTTGGAAAAGAATACTTGTGACCTCACAGAATGTTTAACCTTAAAAAGTCTGGGTAGAGCCTCATGGTCCCACTGGGGAGGCTGGCATTTCCCACCTGATTCTTGCCAAGGACTTTACCTCCCGTGAAGCCCTGGACGCTGAAAACCGGGAGAAAGTCTCTGGGTCTTTCATTTTACCAGCTGCAAAGACAGGTTCCCTCCTCCTGCTGAACGTGTGATGCGTTTCCTTCGTTTGCACCAAGAGAAAGTTAAGATCGCAATCTTATTGCCTGGCCTAAGGTGCCGAGTCGAAATACGGATGGTGGCTTTTCTATTGCCCGCATCTCTTGAGGATTATGACATCCTGTCACATTAAGGAAGACTCAGTGAACAAGCTTCTTTTGAGCTTTGCTGGCTCATACAAGCCCTGCTGAGTTTCTGTCCTGGTGTGTGAGGCAGCTGCTTGTTCCTAAATTTTCTAAACAAGCGAAATATGTTTTTTGGATGGCTTGAGGCCGCAAACAACGTTCCAGCAAGGAAGGCTTTTTCCCCTTCCTGATGAACAGGTGCGCAGGTTTGATACAATTGCCATTCGGAAGGTCCTGCGGAAAGTCAACACTCAAAAAGCTGCAGGCCCTAATAATATCCCTAGGCAAGTACTTAAGGAGTGTGCTGACCAGCTGGCCACTGTTGTCATAGACATCTTCGGTCTCATGGTTCCATCATGTTTTAAGACTGCAATCATTGTACCCAAAAAACCTATCATCACATGCCTTTTTTAAAAAGTTTTTTATTTAATAAACATTAAAAATATTGGACACAGTGTGACCATCCTGGTCTTAACATATCCATACGTATTCTTTCCATAACAACAAATATAATTACTATTTAACATACATTGCTACTTTGTTCTTATATACATATCCTTTGTCTTCATTTACTATTTATTTACTATTTGTTTACTATTTACATTTATTACTACTATCCAGTACTAATTCTACAAACCCTAAATCTTTTTTGTTCCAACTCCTTTTCTCCTTTCCAACCAATAATACACTTTATTCCAGATTTTATAATATTCTGTCTCATTCTTGTTTTTGAGTTCTAGTGTCAGCCTGTCCATTTCTGCACATGTCAAAATCTTCCTTGTTATTTCTTCTTGGGGGGGGGGTGTTCTTCCTTTTTCCAGTATTGTACAGAAACCAACCTTGCTGCTGTTATCACATGAAGCATTAAGTATATTGATTCTTTGCTATAATCCCCTTTTATGAATAGAATAGAATAACAGAGTTGGAAGGGACCTTGGAGGTCTTCTAGTCCAACCCTCTGCCCAGGCAGGAAACCCTACACCACTTTAGACAAATGGTTATCCAACATCTTCTTAAAAATTTCCAGTGTGGGGACATTCACAACTTCTGCAGGCAAGTTGTTTCACTTATTAATTGTTCTAACTGTCAGAAAATTTCTCCCTAGTTCTAAATTGCTTCTCTCCTTGATTAGTTTCCACCCATTGCTTCTTGTTCTACCCTCAGGTGCTTTGAAGAATAGTTTGACTCCCTCTT